CTTTTTATTATTATTAATAGCTAAAGTTATTATAATGCTAATAACTTTAAAGTTAAGACCTTTAAAATTAATAAGGAATGTATTAAACTTATTATTATTAACTTATTATTTAATATCTTTATATATATAAATATATATAGCTTTAGCATATTATTAATCTTTAAATAAATAATTTATTAATTAACATTCCTCTTTATAATATATAAAATATTTCTTCTTTTTACATTATATATTGCCATTATTACTTTTATTAAGCTAATATCCGCTATTATAGCTACCTTTATAAGATTCTTTATTATAATTATTACTTTTAAATTAATAAGGCTAACTTAAGCAAAAGTTTAATTAAAAGCTATTACTTTTAAAAAAAAGTTAAGAGTACCTTAAGCATTAATTATTATTATTATATTACTTATTAAAATAATATTACTTTTTAATATTTATAATAGCTAAATTATTATTATCTTAATTATTATAATTATTAGCATAGCCTTATTTATAAGTTTATTAATTATTTCTTATAACTATATATTATAATATAAGGTTTTAAGCTTTTAATGCCTTAATATATTATTATAAAATAAAGTAAAGTTGCTTAATATTTATTAATGCTATTAAGATAGCATAATGAAATTTAGGAATACCTTATATTACTTATAAAATTATATCTTATAAAAAGCCATTCCTATAAATAATATACTTAAGTGCTTTATAATAAAGCTATATTTTATTAATAAATATTTAAAGAATATTTATATAACTTTTATTTAAGTTTTTTTATTAAAAAGTAAAGAAAGTTAAAGTATTTTAATTTATAAAATAATTATAATAATTATTATTTATATTAAAGCAATTCTTAAATTTCTTATATGCTTAAGTAAATAAGTTCTTTTAATTAATAACTTAAGTATAATATATTTTTACTAATCCCTTAAGCATATATAAAAAAGCTACCTTAAACTATTAAGGCTATATTTATAAATTACTATAAGCTTTATAAAAAAAGAGGATCTTATTATTAAGAATATTATATAGTTTTTTAATAAATATTTCATTCTTATAATAATGTTTATTTAAGTTGATTGCTATATTTAGGTTAAATGGAAAGTTTTTTATCTTTATTAAAGGCAAGAGGGTATAATGATTATATACTGCATGGAAGTTATTAATTAAAGGAAGATTATTGCCTCTTAATACATTAAAAAGTTTCAAAAGGCTACTACTACCTTTATTGCTATCATTAAATAGGCTAAGCAGTTTAAGTAATCTAGGATTAGGAAAATTATTATTATTAAGTAGTTCCTTAGCTTTTATTAAAGCATAATTAAAGTTAAAAATAATATAAATACTTAAATTATAGTTTTAAATTTAATTAATCTTAAATATAATGTAGTATTCTTGCTTTTAATTTATTAGCTATTTAAGATAGTTTAATGCTTTAAGGATATATATTAATTTCCTTAAGGTATTTGCTTTTTAAGTATAAATGCCCTTAACTTAAAGGGTTTTCTTAATAATGCATAATAAGTTTTTATTAACCTATATAAACATTAACTTAATTTAGCCATAAAAGTCTTTAATAAACGCTTTATATGCCTTATTACTTAATATATATACCATAGCTTGGATTCGGCCTTAAATATAGGTATTTAAGTATTATTTACTATTAAGAGATCTTAGGAAATCTATTTATACTAAAGGATTAAGTATTTTAATAATACTTTTAAGTATAAGAATATAATTCATTATAATTAATATTAATAAATCATTTTAGCTAATAATATTACTTATTATATCTACTATATTATTATTATTTCTTATTATTTTAATAAAGTAATAATAAGGGTATATTTAATTTAAGAAAGGGAATAATAAAAAGGGGAAATAAGTAATGTTAAGGGAAAAATAAAGAAGTTAAGAGTTATTTTTATAACTTAGCCATTAAAAGGCAAATTAATTCTTTTTTTTATATTTATTTATATAATAAGATATAAATAAATATATTATTAATAAAAATAAATATTAATTTAATTCTTTTAATTATAGCTATTAAATTTAAAAGTTATTATTAAGGTTATTTAAAGCGTAATAAATATATATATATTAAGAGTAAAGGAGTTTACTATAGTTTCTTACTATAATAACTACTTCTTTATATATTAAGTATTATTATTATTATAAATTGCGCTATATAGATTTGCAACATTAATAATGCTAATTAATATAATTAAAAAGTTATTTCTTTAAGCTTTGCTAATTTATAATTACCCTTATAATTATTAATTAATATTAGCTAGGTTATATATTGCAATATAATATTTAATTAATATAATAATTAATTATTATTAACTATAAAAGGAAGAAAGGCAGAAGGCCTAACTATACTAACTATTTTATATGCAGCGCCAAAGCTACTACTTGCCGGGCATCCTAACGGGCCAAAGCTACCTAGTCCCAAACAATCCTCCATACAAACAACACCCATTATTCCCACAGTTATAGGACTTAATAATAATGATATAAATTTAATAATTAATAAATTATATAAGAATATAAAACTAGATTTTTAAGGAGATTTAATAAATTTCCTTAAAAGCGATATATATATAAATAGAAAAGATAAATAAATAACTATAAACCAAAATAAATATATAAATAAAATATTAAAAAGATTTAATATAAAAGAAAAGGTTGAGAAAAAGGAAATAATCCCTTAACTTATACCATATACCCCTAATAGAAAATTAAAAAAATACATTAATTAAGCTAATAAAAATATTATAAAATTATATTAGCAATAAATAGGGTTTATATTATATGCTAGCTTAAAAACAAGGCTAAATTTAACCTATTTTATAAACAAGTTAGCTAAATATATAGCAAACCCAAAATTAAAGCATATAAAAGAATTAAATAAAATATAAGGATATATATATAAATTCCTATATATATTTAAAGTATATAATTGCTTTAAAAATAATTTATAATTAATAGGCTATATAAATTCAAACTGGGGTGACGATATATTTATTGGAAAGAGCACCTTTAATTATATATTTAGCCTATATAATATTAATAATATTAATAATAATAATAATAATAATAATAATAATAATAAAATAAATCCCATAAGCTGGAATTCTTAGCTATAAAAAACACCAGCACTTTCTTTTATGAAAGCAGAATATATGGCTTTAAGAGAAGCCATAAAAAAAGCTAAATATCTATATAATTTACTTAAATATTTTAATAATAATTTAAAAATTAGCTTTAATCTTAAGCCCCTTACCATATATATAAATAATAATAGGGCTAAGAAATTAGCTAAAAATACCTTATTTTATAAAAGAACTAAATATATAAATATTGCATATTATTATATAAGAGAAGCAATAGAAAATAATAAAGTAATATTAAAACATATAGATTTTAAGCAAAATCTAGTAGACTGGCTTATAAAATTAATAAATAAATTATATTATAAAGAGTTTAAAGAAAAGTATAGTTTAATAGAAAAATAATATAAAAATATTAAGCCAGAGAATAAAAAGATTTTCCACCTATATTATAATGCGCGTAAAATAAATTAAGGTATTTACTCTTTAATAACTAGGGTTAAGATTTTTTCCTTTACTTATAAAATATATAAATAAATAAAGCGGATTTAGTTATATATATATATAATATTACCCTAAATACTAAAGGTTTTCCCTTAAAAGAAATAATTAAAATAATAAAGGTTTTTCTTGAAAAATAAGCGTTACTTACACGGCTCATATATACAATATATACACATAATTATAATATACCTATATTGCGTTTATATATGTTTAATTTTATATAGAAAACGTATTTCCGTAATGTATATAATATAAATAAAATGATGTATAACTTTAATATATAAAAATGCCGTAATATATTATAGCCATTATAAAATAACTAGTAAATCCCATATAAAACCATAATTTAATATATAATACCCTATTAGCTATAAGTTTAAGTTTAAGTAATAGCAAATTTTTAGGTTTTTTGCTTAAATATATAAATACTTAATAAGTAAGTTTTCCCCCTTTTATAAGGTTTTCTCACTATATAATTAAATATTCCTCTTTTATAAACTAAATCCCTTATATATAAAATAAAATAAATAAAAGGGAATTAGTTTAAGGGGGGCTGTTGGAATATTCTAAATATCTAGGCTATTATTAATACGGGATATCCTTTTCCCCATACGTTTGCCACTGTATAGAGGATAATAACTATAAATAGGGGCCTTCCCTCCCGTAGAATAGACGTTAGCTAGCCTAATTGACTAAGCATCCAACGCTATTATTTCAGAGCCTCTCGTTCGGCCAGATGCTGTAGACCTTTGATGAGTTCGAGATTCGCCATCATACAGTCACTAGAAAACACGGCACTGTCAGAAACAATTGACTTGCTCTGGCTCTACTCCAGTGTTCACGGATTGATACTGCAGGCCCAACATTAAGTGACGGATCCGGAACACCATGGAGCAATCCCTGAATGGGATACCACTCCTTCGCGCGCCCACCGGTCGCCCGACTGATGGTCGAGACCCTTGTGCTTAACTGAGTGTGGGAATTGTGAGCAGCCACAAAGTGACTGCGACAGTCGACTAGTCGTTTCGGTTAACGACCAGGTGTATTGATTGGGCGAGAAACAAGCACTTTCTGCCACACCGGTAGACGAGCTATGGATTGACCGCCCCTAGAGCGGCATCCATCGTACACTTGGCTAACCAAAGGGAGGGAAATAATTCCAAATCATGCGGGAACTTCTGGATCGGGTATCAAGAGTGTGACTTTACGAGCTGCCCTGACGGATTATGTGCATAACAGTGCCAGTATCAAAGATGATGTTCCATATCCGTTCCGGAAAGCAACAGACTCGAGTGAATGAAGCTTTAAAATCAAGATAGCCCCATTCAAATCCCGTAAACAGACGATTCTCCCCGGCCATGCCCAGCCGCTTGCCAAATCATGAAGAAGAGCGTGGTTGTTATCGGCGCCGGCCCGTGTGGCCTTGTAGCTGTGAAGGAGATGCTAGCAGCTGGCCACGACGTCCAAGCATACGAACGATCCTCCGGCCTGGGCGGTGCCTTCAGCAGCGCTGCTTCCTATCCGGACCTCCATCTCACTATTTCGAATTGGGCCATGTCCTTTTCCGACTTTCCCGATCCGCAAAGATTGTGCTATCCGTCAGCAGAGGCGTACCTGCAGTACTTGAAGAATTACGCCCGGCATTTTGGTTTGGACGGCCACATCACTTATCACTCGGAGGTGTGCAGTGCAGACTTAGAGAAGGACGGGCGTTGGGCACTGAAAATCCGACAGAGACATCCATCGGGGGAGGAAAGTGCTGTTCTGCACTTCCAGGCTGACGCCATTATCGTTGCAACAGGGGCGAACCAAGTACCCAAGGAAACACCAGACAGCCTTGCTGGGTTCACTGGAAAAATCCTGCACTCGAGTGAATACGGCCAACGATTCAAGGATCAGGTCAAGAAAGAGAAGCAACGTGTGCTGGTGGTCGGCGGCGGCGAGAGCGGCGCCGACGTCTCAGCAGAGCTCGGTGACCTGTCGCCCCATGTGACTGTGTGGCTCCGACGGGCAAATTGCATCGGCCCTCGATACCTCAACACGGCTTCGGAGACGGAGCAGATGGAGGAGAACAAGACGTGCGATTTCCCAGCCAACGCGTTCCTGGAGGCCGCTACAACGAACAGGATGAGTGCGGGTCAGAACGTGTATGCATATGGTGCCTTCCGGAGGCTTCTCTGGAGCACCAAAACCGTGCTGAACCCCACGTTGTCACAGATGTGCCTCGAGAGCACGCGGTCGGCACCCTTGTTGAACGATCAGGCCACGTATGTGACCAAGAACCAGAGGATGTGCGAGGCTCTCCACCAGCAGAAGATCGAGGTACTGGTGGCTCCAACACTGATAGCCCACGGTACAGAGTGTGACTTCACTTTGGCAGACGGCACGATCAAGCAGCGTGTATTTGACACCATCGTCCTCTGCCACGGGTATCGCACCGAGTTCCCGTGGCTGAAAGTGCCAGTTTCGATCAACCCGCGAGACTGGTTCCTGCATTGCTTCCCACAAGGCCTGGGCCACAGCCTCTCCTTCGTTGGATACGCCAGACCGCATCAAGGCGGCATTCCATGTGCAGCCGAGATGCTCTCGCGGTATATCGGGCTGCTTTTGGGCGGGCACAGAAGCCTCCCGAAAAACTATGCATCTCTGGCCCGAGACGACAAGCTGTCTGAGAGGGAATATTACTTCCTAAGCCCAGAACTTCACACGTTGGTCGACTACAACGCCTTCATGGAAAGTGTCGCGCGACGAGTGGGCTGCGATCCCAGGCTGCCTACGTGCTGCGTGATCGGGTTCAATCTTCACATCCTGGCCGCCATGTCTCTGACGTTGCGCTGGGCCAACTTGACAGGCCTCGGATCCTACCCGTTGGATTTCATTCTGTGGCTGGGCACCTTGATGTGTTTTCTCCTGCTCGAGGACGGCCTGCTCGTCAAGTGGTGGTTTTATCCTCACTGGAGTGTGTGGTACCGTCAGCGCGGCCCTGGCGCTGACCCGACTTCCCTGCTGGCCGTGCTGAGCCGTGTCAACATCTGGAGAGCAACGGCCATAACAAGAGGCTTCGTGCTCTTGCTCGTCTGGTCAGTGCTGACTCTGTATGTACAACGCCTGCTCTCCGGTCCGGTGTTTGTGATGCACACCATATTCACCGCACTGGGCCTGCGTTTTCCAAAAAGATGGGGTGGCATGTTGCGCCCAAAGATCTTTGCGTTGCATGACACCGAGTGGCGCTTTTCGGATTTGTTTCTACCATGACGGAATAGATGGTGAGGTCAAGTATGACCCAAGGGGCTGATCACAAGTATCTTGATGTTCCGAAGGCTGCGGTGAGGAGACCAAAGGGGGCGTAGCAGTGGAAGTAACCTTTGTAGGAAGTCCTGGAGGATAGTTGCTTAAAGGACGTCGATAGCCATCTCAGCAGGATCGACCAAGAGGCGGGTTTGCACTTAGACGGCCTGTCCCAAGCTCTACATGAAGTCGCGCAGGTGACGGTTGCAAGTTGGAGCGTGACAGGAGAGCTACTGTTAAGAGCTACATATAAGCCAGCAGGATTTTGCTGCGAGCGTAGGTTCTCGTTGAACACCTCGGTTCCGCATGATGACGCACCACAGCGGCCTGCACTACAGACAGGGATTAGCTTCCCCTGCCTCGCGGCCTTGTCCCGTCACAACACCCAACCATCGCCACCATCCATCACCAAGAGCTACTTCATCCTTATCACTACCGATCCATCCGCCGGGCGCAGGAGATATCGTCGCTCGCTTGCGCTCTGCACTCTGCCGTTATCCACCGCCGCTCAGCGGCACTCCCGGTCAACATGGCCAAAATCGCTGCCCTGGCTTTACTCGCCGGCCTGGGACTGGCAGACGACTTGTACACTCCGAAACACGAGGCCGGACGTTGCGCCATCCGCGACCACTGCGGGAAGAAGAGCTTCTTCGGCAAAGAGCTTCCCTGTGTCGACAACGGTCTCGCCGAGGACCCCGACAAGGAGCTTAGGAAGCAGCTGGTAGACCTGTGCGGCCCCAAGTGGAATGACGGCCCGGTTTGCTGCACCAAGAATCAGGTCGGTTTCTCGTGCTGATCCCATGGTCGTTTCTCCCCCAGCTAACGGATTCAATCTCTGTGCAGGTCGATTCCCTCAGAGATGAACTGTCCACCGCGAATACCATCGTATCGTCATGTCCTGCCTGCAAGGACAACTTCTACAACCTCTTCTGTACCTTCACCTGCTCTCCTGACCAGTCGCTCTTCATTAATGTCACAAACACCCTCTCCAAGAACGACAAGACGCTCGTCACAGAGCTCGACCAGCTCATCTCTGCAGACTATGGAACCGGTTTCTACGACAGCTGCAAGGATGTCAAATTTGGGCCAAGCAACAGCGAGGCCATGAAGCTCATCGGAGGCGGCGCCAAGAACTATACGCAATTCCTCAAGTACCTGGGCGACGAGAAGCTGGTCGGTTCGCCGTTCCAGATCAACTTTCCAACATCGTACAAAGAGCCGAAGATGGATCCTCTCCCCATGAAGCCCAAGAAATGCAACGACCAAGACCCCAACTTCCGTTGCGCCTGCGTTGACTGCCCGCAAGTGTGCCCTGAATTGCCCCAGGTCGAAGAGGCTGGCTCGTGCAAGGTTGGCGTGTTGCCATGTCTCTCGTTTGCCTCCATATTTGTCTACAGCATCCTGCTGTTGACACTCGTCGTGGCAATCGTCGGTCACGTATGGTACCGCAAGCGGGCTGCGCGTCTCCAAGAGGAGAGAACCCTGCTCCAGGGTGGAATCGATGCCAGCGATGATGAGGATGACGAGGGCCGGCTCGTACAGAACGGCGCCATGTTCGATCGGCCGACCAGACCCTACAGGCTGAACACATGGTGCGATACCGCCTTCTTCAAGCTTGGTCATTGGGCAGCAAGATTCCCCGCCATCACAATATTCAGCTCCCTCATTGTCATCATTGTCCTCAGCGCTGGGTGGGTGCGTTTTGAGATCGAGAAGGACCCGGCCAGACTATGGGTCGCTCCGACCTCATCTGCCGCCCAGGAGAAGGAGTTCTTTGACTCCCATTTCGGCCCATTTTACCGAGCAGAGAAGGTGTTCCTCGTCAATGATACCCTTGCTTCGGGGCCAGGACCGGTTCTCAACTATGAGACGTTGCTCTGGTGGATCGAAGTTGAGAAGAGCATTTCGCAGCTTGAGAGCGAGACTTTCAGGATGAGGCTGAACGATGTGTGCTTCAAGCCAACCGGGTCTGCTTGTGTTGTTCAATCGGTGGCAGCATATTTCGACAACGAGCCTGCGCTTATAGACAAGGATGGCTGGCAAGACAAGCTACGACAATGCGCACAAGCACCCGCGGAGTGCCGACCAGCCTACGGTCAGCCCTTGGAGCCGAATATGATTCTTGGTGGCTACTCGGACACAAACGACGTCGTCGACGCCCCTGCGACGACGGTGACTTGGGTTGTCAACAACTTTGCAGAAGGGACACCCGAGCTTGCTCGGGCTATGGACTGGGAGAAGGCCCTGAAGAACCGCCTGCTTGAGGTTCAGAAGGAAGCGGCTTCCAGGGGTCTCAGACTGTCATTCTCCACGGAAATCAGCCTGGAGGAGGAGCTCAACAAAACCACAAACACGGATGCCAAGATCATTGTCATCAGCTACATCATCATGTTCTTATATGCATCCATCGCGCTCGGATCCACGACACTCTCCCTCAGGGATATGATCAGAAATCCTGCAGTCAGCATTGTCGAGTCCAAGTTCTCTCTCGGTGTGGCTGGCATTGTCATCGTCCTCATGTCGATCAGCGCATCTATTGGTCTGTTCTCCTGGGCGAACTTGAGGGCTACGCTCATCATCGTCGATGTCATCCCATTCATCGTGCTTGCTGTCGGTGTCGACAACATCTTCCTCATTGTCCATGAATTCGAGAGGGTCAACATCAGGAATCCCGACGACGATGTCGAATTGCGTGTTGCCAAGGCGCTGGGTCGCATGGGTCCTTCTATCCTCCTCTCTGCGATCACCGAGACGGTATCCTTCGCTCTTGGTGCATTTGTCGGCATGCCAGCTGTCCGTAACTTCGCCATTTATGCGGCTGGTGCCGTGTTCATCAACGCACTCTTGCAAGTCACGCTCTTCATTTCCCTGCTCTCGTACAACCAGAAGCGGGTTGAGGACTCCAGAATGGACTGCATCCCTTGCATCACTATCAAGGCGGCCAGAGTCCATCTGAACGGTAGCAACGGCAATCTGGGCGCGCGGTTGTATGAGGCGCCTGAAGAAGGTTTCCTCCAGCGGTTCATAATTCGATACTATGCGCCAGCTATTTTGGGGAAGAAGGTAAAGGTGGCCATCGTCGCAATCTTCCTCGGCCTCTTTGCCGCCGGCGTGGCTTTAATCCCTGAGGTCAAATTGGGGCTTGACCAGAGAGTAGCCATCCCTGATGACTCCTACCTCATCCCGTATTTCAACGATCTCTACGATTACTTCGACTCTGGCCCACCGGTCTACTTTGTGGCCAAGGACGTCGATGCGACAAAAAGGAAGCACCAGCGACAGATCTGCGCCAGGTTCACGACTTGTGACACATTGTCGCTCACCAACATTTTGGAGCAAGAACGCAAGCGCACCGATGTGTCGTACATCTCGTCTCCAGCCGCGAGCTGGGTTGATGATTTCTTCCTTTGGCTCAACCCTCAATTCGAGGAGTGCTGTGTAGAAAAGGGCACTGCTTGCTTCGAGGACCGAGACCCGGCCTGGAACATCACGCTTTCAGGGATGCCGGAAGGAGATGAATTTATTCACTACCTTCAAAAGTTCCTCTCCTCGCCAACCACCGAGGACTGCCCGCTTGGTGGTCAAGCATCCTACGGATCAGCCGTCGTCATCGACGAATACAAGGAGACCATTCCCGCAAGCCACTTCCGCACGATGCACTCGCCCCTACGCAGCCAGGATGACTTCATCAATGCCTACACCTCCGCCAGGCGGATTGCTCATGACGTTAGCCGCTCGACAGGGGCAGAAGTGTTCCCGTACAGTGTCTTTTACATATTCTTTGACCAATACGTTACGATCGTCGGCTTGACGGCAGGCCTGCTCAGTGCCGCAATCGGTATCATTTTCGTCATCTCATCGGTTCTCCTTGGCTCAGCGCTCACTGGTGCGGCCGTCGCGATCTCGGTAGTGATGACCATCGTGGACATCATCGGTGCGATGGCGGTATTTGGTGTCAGCCTCAACGCTGTGTCGCTGGTCAACCTGATTATCTGTGTGGGAATTGCGGTCGAGTTCTGCGCCCACATTGCGAGGGCCTTCATGTTCCCCTCGCGCACCTTCATGGAACAGGCTAAGAACCGCTTCCGAGGGCGCGATGCTCGTGCGTGGACTGCACTCGTCAATGTCGGCGGCTCCGTGTTTTCGGGCATTACGGTCACAAAGATACTTGGCGTGTTTGTGCTGGCCTTCACGCGGAGCAAGATCTTCGAGATCTACTACTTCCGCATCTGGGTCGCACTCGTGGTGTTCGCAGCCACGCATGCTCTGGTCTTCCTGCCCGTTATTCTGAGCTTCATGGGAGGCGAGGGATACCTCGATCCCGAGAGCGAGGGTGGACTCGAGGAAGATCTGGCGAGCCGCCGGTTCCGAGCCCTTGTGGACCAGGACGATAGCGACTCTGAGGAGGATTAGATTCCCTTCTTTTCAAACCTGAGTCAATTCATTGCATTGTTTTTGAATAAAAAGACGGTCGGATCTGCAGAACACGAGAATCCTCGAGAGGAACACCGGGATTCTGCGAGGGAGGTCCCTGTCGCTGACAGAGAGGCTATCGATACAGAGGATATGGTTTTTAAGTTGTCCCTGGGAAGTCAAGACAACTCTGTCCACTCAATGCCGATCACAAGGAAAGCGAAGGGAAAGGGGAAGGCCAGAGCCAGTCCGCGGGCAGGACACACGCTAAATCGCGCAAAGCCTGCGAATGTCGAGGGCGATGAGGGAATCTTGAAACGGCGAGACAATCCACCCAAAAAACGAGGAAGCGCAACAAATGTCAACCAGAAACCTAGGCCGGAGACTCGGAGGGTACAAAGCAGAGATAATCTACAACGGATCCATTCAGCAAAGGCATTGAGGCTGCCCAGAGGTGGGCAAGTCGTTACCAAGAAGCGCCATGGCAGAGAGCAGAGCACGGAGACCCAACAAGGAGGCCCTTCCAACGGCCCGATCAATGACCCTTGAAGCTAGGTCATCGGCCTGTTTGCACTTTTGGACGACGTTGGCTCCGCTCAAGGCCTCAATTACAGAAGCGGGGGTGACATCCAAGATCGCCGCCCTTGACCTTTGCTTCCAGCAACTACTCCAAAAGAGCGGTCATGATCTACATTGGATCGGAAGGCATGCACAACAGTCACCGACTGGTGCAATTACGAGAAGACCTTGGGTGACGGCATACTTGAATGTATTTCTCGGGCTTGCGTGGTCACACGGAGTTGCTCTTCCTGGCGACGCTTAGACACGGGCATCGGTCGTACGACCACGGCTTACGGATACTTTATCTTCTTTGTATGATACGAGCAGCCATTGCCTTGTATAATAAGATGCTGGCAGGGCACAGGCAGGTGCTTTACAGAGCGAGGCTAGGCTGGATCAAAGCGTTAGGTCTATCTAATAGAAGAAAAGCGTTTGCACTTCGACACTCCCACACAATCGAAAGTCATCAAGAATGCACATGATCTCCCTGTCTGTCTTGTCTCTGTCTCTATCTACGTTGCCTGCCTGCCGTATTCCCACCAAGCTGTGTGTGCAGTCGTTTTCGTCACCACATCAAGTCACCTGCGAAGCCGGCTAGCTTCCGCCGAGCAGAGGTCCGTCCGCCCGCATCCCGAAGGTGGGCCCGGTTCACGATGGCGAGGGGACCCTTGGCCCGGGTACACTATGACCATAAACCGCCATCGAACCCTGTCCCGCAGGGCTTTAAACACGAGCGGAACGTGGGGTTGAGCATGCAGCTTGCCTCAAGACTGTCTCGGAATAGAAATGTCGGGCTGAGATCCGCAAATCCGGGGTCGGCTGTGTGAGTAACTGCCATGATATGTATTTATTCGGCTGAGTAGATCATACACTTCAGTGGCATTGACCTGACCAGAAGCAGCTGTAGAGAAACCTGGGGTAGTCTCAACTTCTGTACGTCCGTTCCCCCTTGAGCTCGAGTCTGTGTTGTCGACATAGAGGTGGCTCTGCTCGGGTGTTCCAGGAATTGTTCTCTCACATTCTCAGCTTTGGGACCCATACTCCTGGAGATTTATTTACCCTTGGGAAACGACGATCGCACACGCCGTCATGCACACAGAACACCACACATGCCGAACCAGGACATGATGGCAACCTCATCCTCATCCGCCGACACCAACGGGGTCAAGGCCGCCCCCAGGGTGCCCGCGGGCCTGCCCATCGTCTTCCGCGACTCGACGCCGCGGGAGGAATTCCTCGAGTCGGCGTGGGGCCACGTCTTCAACCACCGGCGGGCGACCGGGGCCCGCGTCCCCCGGGCCGTGGTGCACGCCACCAAGGCCGCGCACGTCGCGCAGGCGGTGCAGGTCGCGCGGGACCTGGGCTGCCGGGTCTCGGTGCGGTCGGGGGGCCACTCGTGGGCCGGGTGGAGCGTGCGGGACGACGCCGTGTGCGTCGACCTGGGCGCGCTGCCGGGCGGGAAGCATTCTTCCTCCTCGTCCTCGTCCTCCACAGCCACCGCGGGCGAGGTGGAGGGGCTCCAGTATGACCCGCGCACCAGGATCCTGAGCTGTCCGCCCAGCGCCACGGGGCGGGTTGCCAACGGGTTCCTCGCGACCAAGGGGAGGATGTTTGCCGGTGGGCACTGTCCTGATGTTGGGCTGGGCGGGTTCCTGCTGCAGGGCGGGATGGGGTGGAATTGTAAGAACTGGGGGTGGGCTTGTGAGAGTATTGTTGGCATTGATGTCGTCACCGCGGATGCGAGGGAGACTTACTGCAGCGAGAGTGAGAATGCGGATTTGTTCTGGGCTGCGAGGGGTAGCGGGCCTGGTAAGTATTCCCTTTGCTTCATTAAGAGTGAAGTACTATGTGTGTTTTGATTTCTGACTGGAGTCTAGGATTCCCTGCGATTGTGACGAGGTTCCATCTCCTCACTCGGCCGCTGCCAGAGATGCATCAGAGCATCTATATTTGGCCGATATCCGAGTACCGCAAGGTGTTGAAATGGGTCATTGATGTAAGTCGACTGCAAGATGCCTTCCCACTCGAACCCCGTTGCTGCCAGCATGCAGATGTGCGAAATAGGCGACAACGACACCGAGATGGTCGCAGTCGGGCAGCACATCGACAGCCACCCGGACCCCGTGATAATCGCCAACTTCCTAACCTTCAAGCCGACCAAGGCCGAGGGCGAGGCCGCCCTCAAGCCAATGCACGACGACCCAGGGCGGCCCCCGAACCCGCTCGTCGAGGACTTCGCCAAGCCCACGACGCTGCCGGAGCAGTACGCGCCGCAGGCGGTCGCCAACCCGGAGGGCCACCGCTACTGCTCCGAGAACGCGTACGTCAGCAACGACGCCGACGTCCCCGCCGTGCTGGAGCAGGCCTTCACGGCGCTGCCGCACCGCAAGGCGTTCGCGCTGTACTACAGCATGTACCCCACGTCGCGACGACCTCGCTACCAGAATTACGGGGCCAGCGACGCCGGCGACGCGGGCTCCATGGCGCTGTCGATGCACACGGACCACTACTTTGCTCTGTACACGGTGTGGGAGGACGAGAAGGACGACGAGAGGTGCGTCGGGTGGACGCACTCGGTCGCGCGCGAGGTCGAGCGCTCCGCGGACGGGAGCTACCTCGGCGACTCGGATTTCCAGCACCGGAGGACCAAGTTCTGGAGGGGCGAGAACGCCAAGAGGCTGATGGAGATCAGGCGGAAGTGGGATCCCGAGGGGAGGATCTGTGGGTATCTCGACGAGGGGGACAAGAGCGGCGTTGATGGGCTGAAGAACGAGTTTGAGTGGAAGTAGGCCCAGGGTTTTTTTTCTCTCGTTGAACACAGTTTCACATGGCTTGGGCGGTTTGAGAGTAGGAGGCATTACTTGTGTTGAGCATTTTTGTCTGATCATAGCCTCTGCTTGTCCACTTATAAGTCAGGATGGCCAGCCTGTAGCTCGAGACTCTTGTCTACCTTTTATGGCTGTCAATACATAGAAAGAATTTATGGGACATCGCACTTGACGTCGTCAGTCACGCATTGCTTGATGAAGCTGGTCCTACTTGGTGGTTAACTAGGGGCAAGGTGGTGGGGGATCGCAAGGTCTTCTTTAATTTTTGCGGCCGTGTTCCGGCGTTGCGGGAGGCTGCAGTTCTACAGCAACACTATCTGACGATGACCCACCCCGACTACTTCCGCATTGACCAGGTACCTCCACCAAGAACTTGCAAGAGGACTTCCACTCAACAAGGCCGAAGTCGACGCGATAACTCGGATTATTAGCTGGCTTAAATCCAAGAATCTCCGTAATGATCATCAATCATTGGAATCGACCAAGGCCCGGCCGTTGTTGAAGTTGAGAATCCGTGTATTATAAGACCAGCTTCATGGAGGGGCAGGATTCCAGATATTCGTCTCGATAAAAGACATCAAAGCAACGCGGGGTCCTGTTCGATCTTGGAAGTCCAACGGATCTTGAAAATGACTTCCCCCCCCCCCCCCCCCCGGCCGTGGTGCAAATGATCAAGGACCTGGGTGGTCGCATGGAGGCGAAGAAGGACGTGTCTGAAATCCTCGTTGACAACAATGTTGACTTGGCAAGCATCGAGAGCATGATCTGGAGGTTAAGTGACACCAATCCAAGAACGTTGATATATTGGCTACTAACATATTAATCAACACAGTCGCGCTCACACCGACCACGTTGGGCGCCCTTCTCTGTTTCCTCCGTCGACGTCCCTGGTTGTGGGACCGGGAATCAAAAAGTCCTTCTACCCCGGTTGCCCAGCTGTCCAGAACTCTCCTGTCTTGGCTCGTGAGTTCAAAGGGCGTGAAGTCCGGGAGCTTGAATTCAATACCGGCTTGACCATTGGTGGCTTTGACGCCCTCGACTACTTCGGCGACGATCCGGACGAGACGCCTTTCTGCACGATCCCGGAAACACCATCGGGCCAGCCAATACTCGCGCTAGGCCTTCAGCAGGCACGTGATACTGTCAAGAAGGTTCAGAAATTCGATGCCGGCCCAGGCATTTTTGTCATCGCTGCCCACGATGCAAGTCTCCATGGCGTAGTGGACTTGTTTCCTCTGGATGCGAGCAACTGGAATGAGAAGGGATGGAAACAGCAAGGGCAGTGGAAATTTCTGCATGACTTTGCCGGGTTACTGGAGACAGCTTAGAAATTGGGCGTGTCAATATAGTGGTCATTCAGCAAATTCTGATATATCAAGCACACAGCTAACCAGCTCGAATGATAGTGCCCTGGGCATGATAATGATTCTTGTGAGTACACCCCTGGGCCTACTTCTGGCCCTCCACCACCTTTGGCTCACCCACTGACAGACAATACAATCCCACTTTTATATTTTGCTCTTTCTCAACCAATAATAGCTCTGAAACAACACAGATCCATTTTTCTGGCGTCATGGAAGTATTATACTAGACAAATATTTCCTAGAGATTTACACGTTTTGTTAGCGACACAACCAATATCAAAATGTCAAATCTTTAATCTGACGGGAGCTTTCAGTTAACTGCACATGTCCGGTTTGACGGTGAGAGGCACAGGCCAGTCACCCTTCTTAGCCCAGCGGACGCGTAATACCATAGCCCCGGGGATTTTGACTCGTCTGAGGTTGAAAGAGAAGCTTGGAGCTTATTTCCCAGCTAATTTCGTAGTTTATCCCCCAGCGCCGGCCGTCGCCTTGCTTGGCCCACGGACCGGCTTGACCCAGGCAGACTAGCCAGGTGGTAGCTTCGTGCCCACCCGTGTTCCCCGCGTGTATCCTGACCTCGTCGGCCGCTCCCCACAAAGCAGCCCGCAAAGCTCGCAGAGTTTCCCCGACGTATCCGCAATTCTTGAGCAGATGACATCAGGTCTGACTGGCCATATGTTGTGTTGTGTACCGGGACAGTCGGGACTCGAACCATGTAGTGGATTGCGACGGCAACTCCGGCTCCACGGGCACCAAGGGCATGGGCTGTTGGCGACGATGGGCCCGGCGATCGAGAGATATGCTTGGCGTCCGCAAAAGCCTCATGCCCGAGGCCGGAACGCTACGAGATATCGAGCGAAAATAAGAGCCTTCGCGATGCCTGGTCAGTCGTTGGGTGGTGTGTCCAAACGGATGATCAGCGAAAGTTCGGATGTTGATGAGATGACATGCATGTCTTCGAAGTCTTAGCGTCACCGTGCCCCAGACTGCTGGGCCTCGACATGGTGCCTGCGAGAAGACAGACGAAATGTCACCGCGACTTCCACGGCATGCATAGTGCCTGGGATTCCTCCACAAGCAGCTCGCCACGAGGATAGACCGAAATTTGTCCCGTTGGGCAATGTAAAGTGGAAATCGGCCATGCCAAGCAGCGAGTCCAATTGGCGGCGGTGGGGGCGGCCGTCTTGATCAGCGACTGTCTTTCTTCCCTCGCAGGCCCTCGGTGCGGAGAAGGCCAACCTAATGACTGCTAAACTCACGTACGCCAGCCTTGGCGCACCGCGATGGGACCGCAATGGGACCACCCAAGGCATGCACAGGCAAGGGCCAGGCAGGCCAGATCAGGGCCAGGTGCGTGCCCCAGCCTCCACAGTTCGTCCGTTCTTACCCCAGTGCACCTACCCCTCCTCTCTGGGGAAACCCTGGCTGCGGAGATGAGGGCCCTGGCACAGGCTGCATCTGGTTATTTGTGTGCGAGGTCGCACCCGGTCTAAGTGAGTGAGTAAGTGAGTGCATCCCACGGGATGTTATTTTGCGCCATGTACGCACATATTCATATAAGAGGGGACGGGCGACCGTCGTCACCGCCTCGGGGTTGTTGATTCCTCCCAAGCACCAGGTTGTTCCAGACCCACCTCAAGTGCCTCGATAATTCAGGCGCCGGCAAGATGCTCAGCATTCCATCTCTGGGGCGCTATGCCGCCGCGCTGGGCTTTGGTTCGGTGCTCCTCGCCCAGGGGACTCATGCCCAGTCCACCTCAGGTAAGACAGACATGAATTATACCATCTACACCGTGCCTGCATCATCAGAATGCTGAACCCCTCCAGGCGTCACGGTCGATGGCACAGACTTCGCCCTGAACGGCGACAAGGTCTCGTACCGCTTCCACGTCGACAATGCCACCGGTGACCTGATCGGAGACCACTTCGGCGGCTCGGCCTACGAGACAGTGGCCCTGCCGGAGCCAGAGGTCAACGGCTGGGTCGGTATGCCCGGACGGGTGAGGCGCGAGTTCCCAGACCTCGGCCGTGGTGATTTCAGGATCCCTGCCGTCCGCGTCCGCCAGAGTGCGGGATACACCGTCAGCGACCTCCAATACCAGTCGCACACCGTCGTCCCCGGCAAGCCGGAGCTCCCGGGCCTGCCCTCGACCTTTGGCAGCGAGGAGGACGTGTCTACCGTTGTGATTCACCTTTATGACAACTACTCCTCCATCGCGGCAAATCTCACGTACTCCATCTTCCCCAAGTACGATGCCGTTGTCAGGAGCGTGAGTCTCACGAACCTGGGAGAGGGCAACATCACTGTCGAGAGGTTGGCTAGCTTCAGCGTTGATCTCCCGTACACCGACCTGGACATGATCGAGCTCCGTGGAGACTGGGCGAGAGAGGCCATGAGGCTCAGGAGATCAGTCGAATACGGCGTTCAAGGGTAAGTACATGCAGCCTATCATCTTGTAGCACAGAACTGACCTCACATTTCAACAGATTTGGTAGCACCACTGGATACTCATCTCACTTGCACAACCCTTTCCTCGCCCTGGCCACACCAAGCACCACAGAGTCCCAGGGAGAGGCATGGGGCTTCTCTCTGGTCTACACGGGCTCATTCCAGGTGGACGTCGAGAAGGGCTCCCAGGGTTTCACGCGTGCGCAGCTCGGATTCAACCCTTACCACCTTTCATGGAACCTCGGACCTGGCGAGAGCCTCACATCGCCCGAGACGGTGGCCATTTACTCCAACACCGGAGTTGGTGGTCTGTCACGCGCCTACCATCGTCTGTTCCGCAACCATCTCATCAAGAGCGACTTCAAGACCGAGACACGCCCGGTCCTGCTGAACTCCTGGGAGGGCCTCTACTTCGACTACAACCAGAGCACCGTCTACACGCTTGCCCAGGAAGCCGCCGACCTTGGCGTCAAGCTGTTCGTGCTGGACGATGGGTGGTTTGGAGAGGAATACCCACGGGTGGATGATGATGGCGGTCTTGGTGACTGGGAAGTCAACACAGAGCGGTTCCCGAGCGGCTCCCTCGCCCCGCTTGTCGACCAGGTCACGCAGCTCCAGGCGGCCAACTCGACGACAAACCTGCAGTTCGGGCTCTGGTTCGAGCCCGAGATGGTCAACCCCAACTCGACGCTGTACCACGAGCACCCGGACTGGGTGCTGAGCGCCGGCAGCTACCCGCGCACGCTGCGCCGCAACCAGCTGGTCCTAAACCTCGCCATGACCGAGGTGCAGGACTTCGTCATCGAGTCCGTGGCCAACATCCTCAGCAACGCCTCCATCACGTACGTCAAGTGGGACAACAACCGCGGCTTCCACGAGACCCCCTACGACGGTGTCGACCACGCCTACATGCTCGGCATGTACCGCGTCTTCGACACGCTGACCACGCGCTTCCCCGAGGTGCTGTGGGAGGGCTGCGCCAGCGGCGGCGGGCGCTTCGACCCGGGTGTCCTGCAGTACTTCCCGCAGATCTGGACGAGCGACAACACCGACGCCCTGGAGCGCATCTTCATCCAGTTCGGGACGAGTCTCGTCTATCCACCCTCCGCCATGGGCGCCCACGTCAGTGCGGTCCCCAACCACCAGACCCAGCGCACCACCCCGATCGCCTTCCGCGCCCACGTCGCCATGATGGGCGGCAGCTTCGGGCTCGAGCTCAACCCGCCCGAGATCGCCGAGGAGGACCGCGAGCAGCTGCCGGGGCTCATCGCCCTCGCCGAGCGCGTCAACCCCCTCGTCATCAACGGCGACCTCTGGCGCCTGCAGCTGCCCGAGGACTCCAACTGGCCCGCCGCCCTGTTCATCTCCGAGGACGGCGCCGAGGCCGTCCTGTTCTACTTCCAGGTCCGCTCCGTCTGGAACCAGGCACTGCCCTTCATCCGCCTCCAGGGCCTCGACCCTGCGGCTACCTACTCCGTTGAGGGGGCTGGTACCTACTCGGGCGCGACGCTCCTGAACGTCGGCCTGCAGTACTCGTTGCTGGGCGATTATAATAGCACCGTGGTTTTTATTAACCGCGTCTAAACACTATTAGCATTAGAGACGATATATACGTGCTCATGACTAGTATATAATGACAACTACTACTCTCGTCCTGATTCTCAACCATAAATGACGTAAATCGACAACTCCTATTGTATGCGAAAAGAATCACTCATCATCAAGTAGACTACATTCCATCGAGCAACCATCGGCAAAACTCACCTCTAGGTGCCACCCGATGCGCTCGAAGAACAGTCTCTATAAATAATTTTAAAGCCATACTTGTTTGAATCGCATCTACTACGCTTTGAATGTTACAGGAGAAATCTCAATTTTATGATACCGGGGCAATCTCAGTCTCTTCCACAACCTCTCTGGTGCCTAAGACGTAGGCTCCCTCCCTCTCTGATACTTTTCCGCGGAGGACGCTCCCAACACACCACATCCAGTCCCGAAGTCCTTGCATGGATACGCGGATATCCCCACATGGGTGAGTTCAATGGATGGTCCGCCGGGTACTCCTCAAACCGAACCACGCAGTCTTCGGGCGGTTCCCCTATATCCGGCCACTCGATATATTCCGGAGTGTCGGTATACATCGTGGCCTTGGGCCCGGCCTCCCTCGCGCGGGACCACTCGCTCAGTGCGGGCCGGTAGTCAGCCACAGGGTGGTCCAGGTTGACATCCGGGTGTTTGGGCCATGTCTCCATTTTCAAGACGCCGTCCGGGTTCTGCTCCGCGTGGTCCACCTTGCGGAAGTGGCCGTCCCGGGTGATGATCTCGTGCAGGGTGAAAATGACGCCCTTGACGTCGTTTTGGACTTCTCTGTACCGGAGGTGGCCGCCCCGCGGACCGCAGCCGATGCGCATCGTGTAGTTGAAATCGAAAAGGATGAGGTTCCCCGTCGCTTCGTCGATGAGGAGGTTTCTTGGCGCAACGTCTTGGTGCGAGAGGCCATATTTCAGGTTGAGGTCGTCAACGACCCCCATGAGTTGCTTGAGGTGACTCAGCTTGAATACCCGGGAGATGTTGTCGAAGAAAATGTCCCCCTGGATGAAGTGGCTCGTAAAACCCACCACAACAGGGCGGCCCTGCAGCTCTTCTATGACTATGCGATCGAACGGGACGATATTGGGATGAGGTGGAAGGCGCGTCGATATGTTGACTTCATCCCACCGGGCGCACAAGTACTCATGAACGGGCGCATATTTGAAAATCAGGCTTCGGTGGGTGCTGCCTCGCGGGACTGATTCCGTATAAGCTACTTTGTCGACGTGCCGGGGGGGGGGGGGGCGGTCCAGTTCTCGTAGATCGCGGCGACGGATGGTTTTGACGCTGTCAGGCTTGTCAATCCGGGCCAAAGGAGGATAGTTCACAGCCTGCGTCTTGTCATCATCTGGGTTTGATGAGGTAGAGATGAGATCTCCGTCGTTACTGATGTGTATCTCAAAACTGCAGGATCTAGGTTATCAATGTGTTGTCTTAGAAGTTGTATTGCCAGATCATCTTGTTCTTGTTCCTCATCCATGGTGACGACAACAGTTCGTCGTTGATCTAAGTCGAAAATGTACCATTTGCTTGGCCCACCGGAGTAGACTTCACCTGACGGTGCCCAGAACCTCCAGTCGGGATTCATCATGTTGTCTCTAACCGCAAATGTGAATGGCCCAGGTTATTGGTCAAAAGGAGTGTGTTGCTGTTATAGAGCATCACGAAGAGCAAAGCCAGTGAAAATTGGACTCCGAGATCGAGGTATGAGATGAACAGAGCCGGGCCGTTGGCCTCTTGATCAATTGACGCCCATCGCTGAAACTAGCAACTGGCGACTGGCGGAGCAAGCTTGAAGATGTTGGTCACAAAAAGGTTGTTGGGACAAGGTAGCATAGCGCGAGTTAAGGTTCATATGCGACCTCACGCGGCCTACTACTTAAGGCCTGAAGCACTGCAGTCCGATTGGGTAGCATTACGCCCACGGTTGCTGGCCTCTCAAAGACGTGGTGCAGTCTACCAAGTAAAATGTCACCTGGTTGAGAGCAAAAATGTCCACGACTCGGAACAGTGAGTCTGCAACCAACAGCATAGAACTTTAGCTTCACTGGAATCAAAATAGCACATCGTACTGAATTAGCAATTTACTTGGCTTGCTTGAAACCCATCTACGTCTAGACTCTCGACTAGCCACCAGGCCGAAGCAACCAAAGAGACAGCCTGTGCGTTTCAAGTCAAAGGCGGCGTCGTGACATACGATGCTGGCTCGATATTAGGTGAGAGACCTTCAAAGGAGATCCCGCACCCAATGTCCCATTGAGACTCGAGTCATCCTCAACATACGAAGGAGCCGTGTCCAAGTCCATCCTACGGATCTTTCCTTTTTGATTAATACACATCGCAAGGGGCAGGAAGGAAAAGCAGCTCAGACACCAGCACACGATGCACACGCAGAGCAAGACACTGTGGGCTTGGCCAAGATACTAGCAGGACTAGCCAGCCCCTTGTGTAATTCTAGAGGCTGTCAGTTACTTTTCGGAAAGATCAACAGAAAAAGTAAAATAGCATCACCAAATGTGGTACTTGTCCACCGACTAATACATACATTCACATTGTCTGGGTCGAGCACTGCATTATTGATCTTGGACTACTTAGTTCATTTTGGTGCTCCGTTTCGTATTCAAACATGTGGTTGAATACTAGCTCTAGATCACGGACTGACTGGTCATCCCTTACTGACTTAGTCTTTCACCTAGTGTGTTGCGCTTTTACAGCGATCTACTTTAGACTCAAGGCCGGCCTCATTAGGCTATCTGTTGATATGGAGAGACGCTCATCATGATTACACATTTTCCATGATCGCACTCTCTTCTTCCTCAATGGAGACACCAAAGACATCCATGGCTATCTGGCGGCGACCACACCAGATGTCAGCCGTGAGGTACATCGCGTGTCTTTGTGCTCTTTTGATTATTTGCTATCACTTCCGGACATGGAATGTCGACTATGCAGTGAGCTCGAGCTTACCGGTGGACAAGCAGTCTTTGGAGACGTCAGAGGCCCAGGAAGAAATACTGGAGGACAAGCCTACATACACTCACGTCGAAACGCCACAAGCTACTCCAGCCGATACTCCATTGGTGATTCCGCTTGAGGCAAGTCAGTCACAACTCTCAGACTCGGCCACAGGGCGTGGCGGAATACCCAAGAAAATCTGGTAAGCAGCTTCCGGATACAATTTAACCCCCTCAAGGACAAGAATCCCCCATCTGTAGCCCGTTGAGACGAGCTACGGCCATGTTGTGGCCGGGTCCCCCCGAGATTTCACTGAAACTTCTTCCTCGGTGCTTCAATAGCTGACACCCCTTGCTGCAGGTATAAGCTGGGGGCGAAGGGACTCAGTTACGACGCACGTGGCTGGACGGAAACGTGCATCTCGCAGAACCCCGATTACCACGCAGAGTTCCTCACAGACGAGTCCGCGGACGAGTTCGTGAGGGAGAAATACGCAGACCGCCCCGACATCGTGGAGACGTACTTGGCCCTCACCGTGCCGATCCTCAAGGCCGACCTGCTGCGGTACCTGCTCCTCTACGCCGAGGGCGGCGTCTGGTTCGACCTGGACGTTTCGTGCGAGGGCATACCGATAGACGAGTGGATCCCAGAGGAGCTCGAGGACGACGTTAGCCTGGTAGTAGGCTGGGAATTTGATGCGGGCTACGACTTCCTCTTCGACCGGCAGTTCACGACCTGGACTGTCATGGCCAGGAAGGGTGTGCCGCATCTGATGGCCGTGGTGGACGACATTGTGCAATCGATGGCTGATGTGGCCAAGGCGCACAACATTACGATTTCGCAGCTGAACATGAACAATGTTGGAGATGTCGTAGACTTCACCGGCCCGGTAAGGTTCGCGAAGAGCGTCATGGGGAGCTTGGAGCCGTCGCTGAACGAGACTGGTGACTGGGACGGGTGGGAGGATTATTACGAGCTCGTGGAGCCGAAGCTTGCCGGCGACGTCTTGATTCTTCCGGGATATTCGTTATCGGCCATTTTCAACACGTACGAGGAAGAAGACCAGGATAGAGTTGGCCCCTCGTTGGTGGTCCATCACTATGCCGGGAGTTGGAAGAATGACTATGGCGGAGAGAGGGTGGACGAGCGAAGACGGGCTCGATAGTGGGTCACATGAGATAACGTACGATTCTCGATGTTTTTCAATGTAGTTCAATTAATGATAATTTACCAGGGACACACAGACAAGCCCAGGTGGTCAAGAATACGAGACGCACTTGTGCGTGTTATTATGCTAATGTGCAGATGAGCGACGCTGGGGACAGGAAGGGGTGGATTGAAGATACTCCCGGGGTATGAAAGACGTATATCTCACGATTGTAAGGAGATGAACAGGGCGATAGAAACCCATGTGCTGTCGACTGGCGGCTCCTTAGGTCCTGCCATCCGGAGACCAAGGGATGCAGAAACAACAGAAACATTGCCCTGCTCGTGCACGGTTTGTACCAGCTCCAAGGTTCTCTCCTTCACTCGATATCTATTCCTTCTGCACGTAAGTATTGCTCGATATGCTGAACAAGAAGATTCATCAAGGAAAACTGATTTACAAAATAATCACACAGCTGCCTCGGTGGCTCGGTGATGGCGCGGGCCGACTTGATGCCGTGTAACTTGACATCATTCAGTGTCGTCCTTTGATCTGGCGTCCGATTGAAATGTCCTAGTCCGGATTAACCTTGGGTTAACTATTTCCCGCTCTCTCCAACACTCTGGATTAACCCCCCCCCCCCCTCCTCCCCCACCAGATCTCTTGACACACGCTGAGCCCACCGGCCCGTGGCAGTCGGTGTTCCCGGCCAAGACAGAGTCGGTATCGGAGTGGTATCCTGGCCGCCGCATCTGCAGGTCACATCAACGTGTATCATTACTCGACGCGGCTCTCAAGATGTAGTTTCCCGAATCGTCTGCCACAGTGTTGGTACCTTCACGACCGCAAGCAGCCAAAGCAACATGACAGTGTCCAGTGCAGATCCTTTGACGGCCTCGGCTTAAATCATCGTAGCACGGCCATCTCATGTTGGAATCCATGACATCGGGTGGGGTCCCCCAGGATTTCTTAGGGATAAATCCGGCGACGGATTGCTCCACGGGATCCCCAGCTGTCCTGCCATCAGGCCGGGTGCCCCATCGTAGCACCCCCCACCGGCTTGAACGATCTGGGGAACCAGGGATGGCCTGGCACATGCACAAGGGAATCGACCCAAAGTGGTAGCACAACTGAGACTGAACGTCCTGCAGGGCACTTGGCTCCCGGTGGCGGTCCTATCAGCCTCCAAAAATGCCGTCCTCTCAGCGGACTTTCTGGATTTTCCCATTGGCCCCCATTGGCCCCCCATTGGCCCCCCATTGGCCCCGAATGATGTCCCAGGTGGGATTCTCGATCTTGGAGACTGCGCGGTAGAGATATCTTCCACGCATGACCCATAGAGATCGTGTAAACAGCCGCTCCCGCTTGCGACGAGTGCATTTGGTGGATCCAACTGGTCACTAGTCGATGTCGTATCTATAAAGTTTCATGTTGCGTGCAGTCATTGTCTTCGCCTCTCCGTGATCCCGACAGTCCGGCAACGGCTGCAAATAATTGTCCCGCACTTCGCCCGAATCTGAGTAGTGCTTGAAGAGGACAAATTCATTTAAATATTGTTGAGCCCTAACATTCCAAGCTCAGCACATAGTGTCTACTCCTTTCACCAAGACCGATCACTTTCAGCGACGAGGCTACACGCCAGGTAACCTTGCGAGATCAGTCTAAACAGACCGTATTCACCTGTCGTTCAGCTCCTGGTCCCAACTTACATACATCGATCGATTCGACGTCGCACTAAATACCCATCCGCCGTCTTCAACCCGGCAACAATACGACAGCCAAGATGCATGGAATAACAGATCAAATATTGCATGCAGTGCTTCAACATTGGGCCCCCGCACTAATTCTTATCACCGTCGCATGGCTCCTCCGAAATCGATATCACAACGGGCTGCACAAATATCCCGGCCCGTTTCTGGCATCACTCACAGATTGGTGGCGCTTTGTGGATGTGTGGAATCGGCGGCCAGAGATCACCCATCTAAAACTTCATGAGAAGCATGGGGATGTGGTACGGCTCGGACCAAACACTCTGTCCTTCGCGGATCCAGCAGCGCTAAAGGCGATATACGGCTTGAACAAGGGCTATGTCAAGGTGAGCACAACCGGCTGGCACTTTCAGGAGCAAACAAACTGATTTGAACGTTCGCCAGTCCGATTTCTATGTAGTGCAACAGGCCGTGGTCAAGGGCCAGTCCCGACCGAGCTTGTTCAGCACCGTGGACAATGACTTCCACCAGCAATTCCGACGCTGTGTTAACTCAGCCTTCGCAATGTCAGCCCTTGTGCAGTATGAGCCATTCGTTGACAACACCACGAAGCTATTCCTCAAGCAGACAGAGCGGCTGTTTGCGGACAGATCGGAAGGGTGTGACCTCACCCGATGGCTTCAGTTCTACGCGTTCGATGTCATTGGCGAGATCACCTACAGCAAGCGCCATGGATTTGTAGAGAAGAACGAGGACATCGACGGTATAGTCTCATACCTCACCCAGCTGTTCAACTATGTGGCTCCTGTAAGTCTATCCCAGCCCATTACGCCCATCGTCTAGAGCAATATACTTACAACAACTTAAACAGGTCGGACAAATGCCCCTGCTCGACCGCCTCTTCCTGAAGAACCCCATCTACCTCAAGCTCGGTGAGTGGGGCCTCATTGACGCGACCTTCCCCGTCGCCAAGTTCGCTCGCGCGCGCATGGCCGAACGCCTGCCCGACCTCAACAGCGAGAAGGGCAACATCCTGCCCACGTCGGACAAGAAGAAGCCGACGCTCGATCTGCTGTCCAAGTTCCTCGCCGCCCAGGAGACCCGCCCGGAGTTCATGACGGACGGGCTCGTGCAGACCATGGCGGTCTCGATGGCCTTCGCCGGCTCCGAGACCACGGCCATCAGCCTCGGCGCCGTCTTCTACTACCTGCTGCGCACTCCGGGCGCGATGGCGAGGCTGCGATCCGAACTGGACGAGGCGGGCCGAAAAGGCATCTTCCACGACAACGAGACGGGCCTCGTCACCTGGTCCGAGTCGCAGAAACTCCCGTATCTGGATGCGTGCATCAAGGAGGCCTTCCGCGTCCACCCGGCCCCCGGCCTACCCATGGAGCGCATCGTCCCGCCGCAGGGCGCAGAGATCGCCGGCCGCTTCATCCCCGGCGGCACGATCGTGGGCTGCTCCGCGTGGGTGTTCCACCGCAACAAGAGCATCTTCGGCGAGGACGCGGACGTCTTCAGGCCGGAGAGGTGGCTTGTGGATGAGTCCCTGGACAGGGAGAAGGAGGAGGCCAGGATCAAGGAGATGACGGGGACGATGCTACAATTTGGCATGGGCAGTCGGACTTGTATCGGGAAGAACATCAGCCTCCTGGAGATCTACAAACTGGTGCCGAGCTTGCTGCGGGCTTTCGATGTAAGCTTTCCCACTCAACTCCTCCCATCTTCATCGTGTTCTTGGCAGACTGCTAACCATTTGGTCTTGTACAGATCGACTTCCAAGACCCATCCAAGGATTGGAAGATCACAAATTCTTGGTTCGTTAAGCAGTCAGACTTTTGGACGACTTTCTCACCAAGGACCATACCTCAGCCGGAGGCGGAAGTTGTGACGGAGAAGGGGGATGGAGTAGCCGTGATTTAAACACTGCGAAGGCTGGAGCGGTGGCTATTCCATGTTCGATATGCCGCCCATAGTGCCAGATCTTGAGCGCCATACGGGTATGCAAGGAGTTACTGTGCTTGATTGGTAGTGTATAAAAGATAGAAGGTTTACACACGTAAAAATGTTAATATTTATCCTCTGATAGCGATGCAAATGCAAAGGATGCTCTTCGACTGCAGAATAAGAATTGCAAGTGCACTTCTGATAACTCAGATGTTCCGAGACGGATTTTGATCACCCGAAGCCTTGTATTTGTCAAAGTGATTGAGTTTTGAGACCGCATTGGCAACTATAGAACCCACGAAGCTGGATGTTGACCAACAGCAATCAAGGACTATATTGTGTGAAGGAACGTGATGCCCATGATCTAACCTTTGATCATCATTTTGTGACAACATATTCCTCGTAGACCTCGCGCTTGTCAGACACACCTGAGTACATGTCGTGATTAAGCTACCTCTTCCAGTATAGCACACAGGCACCTTCATGGCCTCACGCAACCAGAGTGCACATACTCAAGTGCAATATCCCACCAACAGAATATGTGTGTATCCCATACGATGCCCTCGGCCTTAGCGGACTTTCCTTTCTCGCCGAGCTGGCCGGCGCCCGTTCCCGCGGAAGCATCCGCGCCATTCTCGGACATTCCGCATCGTAGCGAGGATCAAAGTATGACCGAGTCACTGACAAAAAGATACGATTGCCGGAGCAACTTAGGATGCTTTTGAGTTCCATGAATAGAGGTAAGTTTGATATGCTTTGGGAATTTCTCTTTTCCGGCCAGATAGACACGGCGTAGTACCCACTTCCTCATGCCGCTGGGGAATACTTTCCTCCCGTGTTGCTCCACCGGGCAGGGAGGTCCAGGAATGAGCAATGAAGAGATACGTTCCGGCCAGCTGTACGGACGAATCCATTATCGTGCGCGGACCGAGCCGCGTGTGAGCACACCATTGGTGAGGGATGTATATGACGAAGCCGTGATATCTTCCTAGTACTCGTCTTCTTCATTTCCAGTCTGTGCTCAGATTTGGCTGCAACACTGAGGTTATCCCTGGTAAAGCACTGTACTTGGCAACAAGATATCCATGAAGACAAGTGTTTTCCTACTACATGCTGTTGGGACTGAACCACTAGACTAGAACGTCGTCACCTGCTCTGTCTCTAGTCCTTAACCAGCTCATACCCATAGTGCCACCCCTTGCCCTTGATATCTTCCCTCACCTTGTAGTTTTCCTCAGCGATCCTCAAGACATCGAGGGCCACCTCAGCATACACCGTCCCGTCCTCGTCCAGTCCCAGCTCCTTACCACCCTCATTCCTCACCTTCCCCACAATCGGCAGGGCGACCTGGCTGCACCCACCCTTGTTACAAAACACCACAGCAGCCGTGTTCTCAAACGCGCGGCACACGACGGCCGTCTCGAGAAACACCCTCTCGCTGTCCGGGTTGAGCGCGAGCCCCGCCTCATCGACGTCCGTGACCAGCCAGAACGACGGGATGATCACGATCTGCGCGCCATCCGCAATAAGCGCCCGGAACGCCTCCGGGAACGCAAGGTCCCAGCACACGAGCAGGCCCGCGCGCACGGGGGACCCGTCGGCGTTGCGCAGCGGCGTGTCGAACGCGGCGTGCGGCTCGTGGCGCCCGGGGCTCAGGTGCGGCCGCTCCGGGTGCCACAGGTTCTTCTTCTGGTAGCTCCCGGCCAGGTCGCCCGTCCCCGCCGCGACGAAGTGCGCCATGTTGCGCAGCTCCCTGCCGGCCAGGAGCGCGGCCCTGGACTTGTTGTCGTCCTGCGGCTGGGGCGGCGCGTGCGCGCTGGCCGGGTGCGACTCGCAGATCGTCCCGGTGACTATGCTGATGTTCAGCTCGCGGGCCAGGGCTTGGTACCTGGGAAGGTAGGCTTCTGATTCTGCGCAGGATGCGATGAAGTCTGGGTGCTCTGGCACCCAGGATGTCAGGTGGTATTCTGGCAGGACGGCGACATGACAGCCATTTTCCGCGGCCTTGCGGATCTCTGATTCTGCTTTTGCGAAGTTTGCTGCCGGGTCGACTGGCTGAGGTGTGGATGATGATCAGCGCGACGGTGAGAGCTTAGGAGTTTAGGAGAGCGATTGGTGCAGATGATGAATGACCACAAGATCGGAGACGAGTACCCAACCTCGCGAGAGTCTTCCCTAGGACTTGGGCTGTAGCAGCTCAAGCTATCGTAGAAGAAGCCTTGACGTGCCCGTCCGCTGCCGTGAAAGCCACAGACATGAACTCTGTCTGAAAAGATGACGCAGTTGACTCACTGACCTTTGGTTGCATTTGAATCAGCGCAAATTTATAGGCGGGTGCCATGTTGAAGGCACTATCGGCGAGCGCACGGAGCCCAAATGCAGCTGAAGGAGAACAATGCGGTGATCTATGCCGTGGATCGCTTCGTCGAGGCGAATGCCCGGAAGTTTCATGCACGGAGCGATGTCTGATGCAGAGCGATCATCGGAGCCGGCAGCGGGGATGTGGAGACCCGGACTACCCATTGCTTCCGGCCCACCAGCCTCCGGCCTCGACTGCGCTTCGAGCCCGGTTCCCGTCAAGCTTGTTATTCGGTCTGACCAAGGCGGACCGGAAGTGAAGCCTTGATCTCACCAACGATGCGTAGTTCACCCTTGCCAAGCCGGGCGGTTCGAACCACGAACTTCAAGAGCCCCCAAGAGGCAAAGGCGCCAGTCGGAGTAATGCCAGCGTTGTTCAAAATCTATGAGCATGCCTCGCAGACTTGGACACTGTCTGAACATCTTCCTCAAGCGAATTGTACTTGGATAGCTAATAATTACATGGAGTCGGACCAATTGCATCAAACATGGGTGGCTGCATCAAATTCACGGCAATGGGAACAGCAAGGTTGGAATTCAAATTTCTTGGGTCTTTTAATTTGTTCTTTCTCATCGTTGGCTCGTCTCAACATCTAGCGTAGGGAACCTTGATAGCATTTAAGAGACCACTGCACCTGCGAGCAGATTATAGAATGGTGCCGAAGCTGTCAAATTGTTAGCATGTGACGAGACCTAACCTCGACAAGTAGAAGACAGATGCTTACCCGAAAGTCCTCTTGATGCTGTGCACGTAGTAATTCTGCCAGTTCTCCTTTGTGACCTCCTCCTGACCCACTGGAACACCGGTCCAGTTGACTCGCATCACCGTCACCGAGTCCACATCGTTCTGGTCAAACTCGATCTCCAGCTTGGAGTAGTGCCCTGCCGGCCACTGCTGCAGCCTCCAGCTCTGTACGATCTTGGTGGGCTCGTTCAGCTCCAGGTACTCGCCCAGGACATTGCCCCCGAACAGCTCGAACTTGCCACCCTTCTTCGCGCCCTCGAAGACCTTTGGCGGTGCGCGCGTGAAGGCTGCGATCCGCTGAGGGTCGGTAAAGGTCTTGTAAAGCTCTTCTGCGGTCGTGCGGAACTCCTCGCTGTCGTTCACCGTCGTGGTGTTCACAACACTGCCGCTGCTCGACTTAACGGTCGTTGATGGCTCGGGGGTGGCGGTCTTTGCTTGGAACTTGGGGGTGGAGAAGCCGCTGGAGGGGTTGGAGCCCGGCGCGTGCTGGATGTCCTTGCCGTGCTCGGCGATGAGGGCGGAGGGGAGCTTGACAAACTGCTGTCGCAGTTGGGGGATGAGCTTTGCGCGGATAAGATCCTTGACGGGCTGCTTCTCTTTCGACTCGGAGTAGATGTCGACGTCGAACACAAACTCGTCCTCCTCTGTGTCGTGGGCAACCTCGGGCACGGTGATGGTGCCGGAGACCTCGTCTGCCTTGGGGGCGGAGCCGGAGAACTCGAGGACCAACTTCACGTCGTAGATTGTAATAACCTTGCCTTTGCGCTGGCTGACGTCGACGTCACCGTCGCAGGTGATAATCTTGCTAACCTTCACCTTTGCGCCGCCATCCTCCACCTCGACCTTGGTCAGGTTCTCCGTGAACCAAGCTCTTGTCCACTCTGAGACATCTTTGTTGACCCAGTGCCAGTTGTTCGGGTTGTGAAGGACCATCTTGCGTGTGATTGGAAGGGTGACTTCAGTCGCGAAAGGGGCGGAGTAGGGTTCAAGTCTGCTTTCGAGGGGCAATGTTAGTCAACGCAGCCATGATTTAATGGAGATGTGTTGCAAGTTGCCAATTGAAGAAGCGTCGTTCAGAAATATGAAGTATATTCAAGAGCTTGATCATCAAAGGGAGAGAGTACAAAAAACCCCTATGACTGGTGCCAGCTATAAATCTCATCACGTAGACGTCGTGGTGGTGGCGGTGGTGGTGCGGAGGGGAGAAGCGGCGAGGACACACGTACCTTTGGGTCCCAGAGTGGGTGTGAGTGCGTTGTGCTGATCCGATACGATGGTGGTGGTTGGCAGATGCAAAAGGTCAGGCTGTGGAAAGAAGGGCAAAGAACAAATGATGTGATATGGGTGGTAGTGTTGGTGTTGGTGGTGACCGGGGAGCCGGAACGGCGTGGAAGAAATCCAAGCGATTCCATTTTGTCTGCGAGCTTTTGAGGCTGCCAGTGTCAGCTGCAAGCTTGCAAGACGGACCCCACCCGCGCGTCCGGTCCCTTGTTTGCGAATTGGGCTGGACCCTGGAACGGAGCTGTCTGGACTTGAGGCTCTTCAGCCTCGCCATGTCGAGACCTCATCCCATTTCCATTGTGGTTTCGACACGATCTGGCTCGAGCAGCGTCGTGAAGTGGTCTTCTTCCTGAAAAGTATTCGTGGTTGTGATGGGAGGAAAATTCTGTGCACTGAAATTTAAGCGACCTCCAACCCCGCTGAATATTGGCCCCACCGGTTATGCTGGCCTCAGGCGTCAAGACAAGCGGTACAAATTATCAACCCAGCTACTGTTAACGTCGACTCTTGCCATGGTATGACTTTGTTGGCGCTCGGGGACCTTGCACGTCTCGAAATCTTCCTTGAGAATGGAGACACAGGATTGACGCCGTCAGACCCGAGGGTGGTACGCAATCGGATGCTGGCAGTGGCTAGTTACCCTGTCAACTATCATCAATTGCTCAGTTCGGAGCCTGTTTCATCTGGCTCACAAGAGCAAATATAACTGCATTGAATTCTCTCTAGGTTCGAATTTTTCCTTGAAGTGTTGAGGTCCGGCTGCTTGAGCGGCTGTCCGCCTTTAAGACCAGCCTGCTCTAAGAGGACTCTTCCCAGTTTTGCTTTCTAGGTAGCTCAACCTGCCTTTCCCACACTTTGGGCCCCTCGTTCTGGTCATCTAAGGTAGGTCTTTGTCCCATGCTGGGAGGGCATACGGAGTTTGTTGATCTTGACGCGCCTTCTCAATGAACCTAGACGAAATCAGTATTGCGACCAGACACACATGCGCCATTCCACAGGATCTCACTTCGTATGACTTCCTCTCGCAAACATGTCTCCTTTGCCGTTGAAGAACTTCATGTGTGTATACGCCAGGGTTTTACCCACTGCAGGCATTGTGTCAGCAATCTCATTCCTAGATAGACACCAAGTCGGGACACTCACTCTTCTCGCACTCAGCAATGACCCGGATCTTGTCCTGCTCTGCCACCACCAGACAGATATGAAACTTGAGGGTGTCCGTCAGCCATCCCACTCACGTTGAAGCAGCACAGCGCGAGATCGCGTACCGTTCAGGTCCGTCGAGACACCCGTAGAGTATAGTCCCATGGACGCCACAGCAAGAGAGCCTCCAAGATCAACCATACTAGCAATGGTTCCGCCGTGCAGGATGTTCAACCGGTTCTTGGCGATGCGTCAGCATCTCAAGCTCGTCCTATTCAAACTGGGTTTTCTGTCCCTGTCTTGCTCTCTTACCGTGTGCTGCTTATGTATATGGAGATCAAATGTGACCTTTCCAGGGCCGGCAGCAACGACACGCAGCTGTAGTGACAGTCACGATGAGTACAAAAGCCGTCGAATAGAGACATCACGCCTTCAGCTCTCTCACATTATTGTTCCCTAGCAACCTGCGAGCCGTCAGTCTTTCCAGTCTGTTCTAGCCTTTTGCAGAGCAACTGGAACTCACGTTGGCTCCAGGCCAGATGTTGCCATGAAGTTCTTCAGAACCTAAGGAGGGAATGTACCGAGCGTCAGTCATGAGGGCCATGGTCTAGCTGGATTCGATGTTGCGCGACTGACTCTCGGAACGAATTGCTCGGCTCTCAAGATGGACGACATGATCAGGGCCCCAGAAAGCTGCCTTGCTTGATATTGTGATATGTAAAAAACCTAGAAGTGATCCCCAGCACAGTGAGGTTGACCCGTGAAGTTGTCTGGTCTGGTTGGTCTCTGGCTGGCGACTCGCACTGAAGAAGCCCCAGACGTCACAGGTGGGTTGGCTTATCGCTAGGCACTGGTGTTGGAGGGGACCCACCCCCTGCACACACCCCTGCCGCACGACGGCTAAGGGCAGCCCACGCTATAGTCGTGACTGACGACTTCTACATTTCGATTCCAGGCTCCAAGTCTTGACTCCGACCATCACGGAGCCGTGTCCTCCTTGCCACGCCACCCGACAGACTTGTTCGCAGTCAGTTTGGGCAGTGCCATCGGGGGATACGCCGACCATCTATCGACACCCAAGCAATGCAATAACAGTGCGGCGTCCTCGCCTCGACTCTCTCAACGGCGGTGACTGGCCGCGGCAGACGCCAACCAGCAGCTTCCTGCCTCACCTCCCTCGTCCTCGCAAGTTTGGCCCATCATGTCGGCAACGCCCTCCCTCACCCTCTCCGACTACCTGGAGAAGCTCTCAGGGGCAGTCTTCCGACGCCTCTACCAGCAGCCCTCCACCGCCTTTGCCATCTTCCGGCGCATGCTGCCGAACCTCGCCAAGACCTTCGTCATGGCGATCCTGTACATGCCCACACCTCTGCTGCTCGACGACCTCGATACCTGGGTCAAGCCCGATGCTAAGAAGGATCGCGACCATGCCCTCGGGATTCTGAGGCGCCTGCACATAGTATCAATCTCGATGGCGGTGAAGGACAAGCCACAGGAGATGGCCCTGACCACCAACTTCAAGAACTCCCTGCGCCTGGCCCTCGAAGGCGGTGGTGAGCACCAGAGCTTCGGCGTGCCTAGTTCGCTCCCGGTGCCCGAACACGTCGACATTGCCTTCCTCGACAAATATGCGCGGAAGAAGTGGGACGATATACTGCACTTCGTGGTGAACAGTGTCGCAATGGGGGGTGGGGAAAGCGTGTCTGGGTCTTCTGGGCCCAAGGCCTCCGTCAAAGACCTGCTGGTGGCAGGCCGTCTAGTCGAGCGGAGGGGACTGGGAAGCGTGGGAATCACGCAGTCAGGCTTCACGTTCCTGCTACAAGAGGCGAACGCGCAGGTGTGGACGCTGCTGCTGCAGTGGTTGGAGGCGGCTGACCAGGCGCGCAAGGAGGCAGAGCAGGCAGGCAGAGAGTCCAAGCTAGACAGTGTCGACATGCTAAGTTTCCTATTCATGCTTGCCAGCCTGGAGCTAGGGAGGGCCTACGACACGAACGCACTGACTGAGAAACGTCAGAACATGCTTCCGAACCTGGTGGACTTTGGCCTGGTCTACATCGATACGACCAACCACCACCAGTACTTCCCAACTCGGCTTGCCACGACCCTCACGAGCGGCGCATCGGCACTGCGTAGTGTGTCATCAGGCTTTGATGCCGCCATAGCTGCCGGCCACGGGGAAGGGGGCGGCGGGGCCGGCGAGAGCGGGCAGCACAAGGGCTTCATCATCGTCGAGACCAACTACCGCATCTACGCGTACACGACGTCGCCGCTGCAGATATGCGTGCTGTCGCTCTTTTGCCACCTGCGGCACCGGTTCTCGGGCATGGTGACGGGCCGGCTGACGCGCGACTCGATCCGCAAGGCTATCAGCTACGGCATCACGGCGGACCAGATCGTGTCATACCTGGCAACGCACGCGCACGAGCAGATGCACCGCGTCGCGCAGCTCAACACCAAGCCCGTGCTGCCGCCCACGGTGGTCGACCAGATTCGCCTTTGGCAGCTCGAGAACGAGCGCATGCGCGCCACCCCGGGCTTCCTGTTCAAGGACTTCGACTCCAAGGCCGAGTACGACGCCCTCTCGCGCTACGCCGAGGAGATCGGCGTCCTGGTCTGGCGCAGCGACGCCCGCCAGACCTTCTTCGCCAGCAAGGTCGAGCAGCTGGCAGAATACCTGAGGCTGTGGAAAAAGGCGAACTAGGACTCCGCCTTCTCCGACTCTCCCGGCCTCCTCGTCGATGGAAGCGACACCTTACAGTCCAAGATCATTATCAGTCCAGAGAAGCGACGGCCTGGCGGTGTCTTTCGGCCCGTGATATATGGAAAAACGGTCCGGGGCGTACTGCAGATGTGACATCTGCCCTGCTTAGCTGAACCAGGTAAAGCACTGCCTGGAAAGGGGCCGGCGGCTGTTTCATGATTATCATCTTATCACAGTGAGGGTCTGAGCCGGCCATGAAGATGATCGGCTGTCCCTTTCTCGGTCACACATATGGTCTTTGGAAAAAGGGTTTCAGCGGTTGGCGTTTAAAGGCAAAAAGAATTGGTGGGCTGGCTATCTGGCCCAAGTGAAAGAAGGCGTTAAAAGGCATACCCGGTAGGGTCAACGGCGTCATGTCCTCGTTGTTGTAGATCACCTCCACGCAGTTTTGGTGCATAAAAACATTCATTGCGAGATCATCGCTTGATTGATTTTTCACTGGTTTCGGTGTCATGGTCCAGAGGCCAAACCACTTCCCGTAGGTTCCTCATTTTCTAATTATTTCAAGTAGGCCGTCTCTGCATGTCTCATATAAGAATAAGCTAACAGTACACCATTACCCAACAGCAGCACCAAACCCTTTCTATTAATTCGTGAACTGGTCAGCCGGATGCTGATGCTAGCAATCTCCTGTAAGCAAAGTGCAAATAGCCGGTGCTCGTTCTCTCGGACACATCAGTGGTGTCATGCTTTTCTGCCAGATGCAAAACCCAGTTTGATAGCAACCCCTCCCATCCTTCACACTGATTAGTACATGCTTGCCCTCTTTCCGATTCTCTTCACGCCCATCCGCGATATGTACGAGCCCCAGTTGCGGTCACCCATAGTACCACCCCTCGGAAGGAGCTTGACACGGCGCGTCTTGCGCGCATAGTCCTGCTGGAACGCGAACAAGCTCCTCCGGGCTTCATCGGTGGCGCAAAAAGCTTCGAGATGAACGAACACCCGCTTGCATCGCTCGTCGTCGTCCAGCAGCAGCTCAGCATCCGCAGCATGCATTCCGCCTGTGTCGCTGCCCGGGCCGCCGCCGCCACCGGTCTGTTGGAGAATGGCGGCTGAGGTGGCCGAGGGGGGGAGACGAGTGTTGAATCGGGTGTACTGTGTTTCTCGCAGTAGATGCGGCTGTAGCTGCTGATTTCGGGCTTTCGCGCTGTCGGCCTGAGCATCAAGTATGCTCAGCAGATTGTTGGTGGTCAGACACTCGGCCAGGAACTTGTCGTGCAGGGAGCTGAAGCGGCCCGTCCAGTACGCTGAGGGCTGCTCGGTATAGATGCAGCAAGGATTCTGAGTGAGGTACAAGTCCGACTTGTGCGAGCCCAGAGACAATCGACCACTCTTCGAGACCGGGAGCCGAGAGGAAGTGGGCGGCTTGGACAGCGACGTGTCAGCCGTTGCGGCTTGGACGAGAGAGGCTGAGGATCCGTTCGATGAGGCAGTGGTCCGACGACTGGGGGCTAAGGTTGACCTAGAAAAGGACGCTGTGATTCCGGATAAGACGTTGAATGTGCGTGATTTGGATAACTGTCGTGGTGTCGAATCTTCAAGGGTTTCGATGATGGGGGTGGGTGGTCGTCCAGATCCCTCCTTTTTATCCTTTCCGCCTCCAGACGCCACCTCACCAAAGACATGATCGCCGCAAACTTCAGAAGTAGGAACAGGATGGGATGGGAGGATCATCCTGCCATTGTGCTGGACGGGGCCGAATGGAGCACTGATGACGGGCCGCTTCCTGAACGGCAAGCGAGGCGTCGGAAGACGCGAGGAACGGTGTGGTTGGTCCATTCCGTGAATCGTGCGAACGGTCCGTCGACTGATTCGTGAAGCCGTTGGATGGCGTCTGCGGCAGTCCTGTGGGCTAGGACAAAGAAGACGAGAAGGATAGCGTGGATGACAGCCAGCCACAAGGGAACCAGGACGCGGACGGAGTCGAGATAGGGTCTGTGGAGCTCAGAAACTAGCAGATAGGTGCACTTGAGGCTCTGGAACAAGGCGTGCACAGTCTGCTGGATACCCTCCTTTAAGGTGAAGGTCAGAAAGTAGAAGACCTGGGTTATTTCGGCTGGCTGCTCTGGGTATGGCCTCTCGTTGTGGTCGAGGTCGAGGTTGAAGTCAGGGTCGAAGTCGGGGGCTGAGATGGGTGATGCGCAGTCAATCGGATGGGGACCAACGTTGGTTCGCCCAGTACCTGTAGTCATGATGAGTGGGAGCGTGGTACGGACTGTGCGTAAGGAAGCTGTCCGTGGAGCGTTCGGTGGCAATGTCAAGACTCAGGGAGGAGAAGTGAAGATGGCGATAGTGGTAGTGGCGGCGGGTGTTTGGGGAGCGAGATGTTGACAAAGAGGGCCGGCTGATTTGAAGACGACAGCAAGTGATGAAGTGCGTTCATGCTCACCTGGTTGACACGGCAGGTGCCTTCGAACTCCGAGGAAAGTACAATCAGAGGACAATTCCAAGACGATCAGTGACTTTCATGTTTGAGGCGTGACTTGGTGCACTGAGAGATGGAGACAGCAGGTGCGACACGCTCCTGCCCGAACAGGTCCAAGGTCTCCCAGCGCGAGGAACAATGGATGCTGAAGCTCCTTCTCAAAACCATGTGTTGCCCCAACAGCAATGTGTCCGCAGTTCCTGTGTCTGTCAGTTGTGGAGGCAGCCAGCTGGTCGAAGGCGTCGTCCACAATGCTTTGCCAGGGTCCAATTCAATCCAGTGGGAACGATCCATCATTCATTCATTCTATTGAAGACATCGATCAATGCTAATGCAGGCGTCGTCACTCGTCAGTCTTGCCATTGCGAATCCCATTGCCATTCTCGTTTATGCACCGTCTATTCCCAACCCTCGACGCCGAATCTGAAGGTCATGTCTCCTTCGCCTCTCTCTATGGCGCTGCCATTTGAATCCCACAATGCCCTCTCGGTATAGGTCACGTTTCCGTCCCAGTCCACCAGGATGATCGTCTGCCTCTGCGTGCCGTACATGCCCGTTGCGAATCCCGTCGTTTGAGGGTCCGGCCGTTGAGCTCCCACGACCTTGGACAGCGTCTCTTGCACTTCGGGGTCGGCGTGGTTGGCCCCGTCCGTTCCATTGCTCGCCGCTCTCACCATGTCGTCCCGGTGTTTCGAGTCGCCTATCAGGGGAATGAACACAGACTCCTTGAGCTCCGTGAGATGGTCCTCCAGGCTCTTGCCTGGGTGGGTAGGCAGTGTGTCTTGGTCCAGGACCCAGAACAGCCTCTCCCGCAATTCGTCCTCGTTCATGTCTTTCTCGACCGCTTCGCTCACAACCTGGTTGACCAGAGACTTTCCGTTCTTCACCTTGGGCCACTCCACAGGGTCATCAAACGCCGCATTGCTAAGTCCAACTGTCTCGCCTCTCTTCCCAACGATCCACGGTATCTGGTCAGGGTGCTCGGCACGATTTGACAGGATCGCCATAGGCTCCAGCCCGTCTTCACCCCCTTCACGTCTCCGCCTCAACTTTCCACAGATGAGCGAGAAGCCGCCGACACCCTGACAGCCGCCGCTTGCCATCACTGCCTCCACATAATCGCCTACACTGCGCTCTGCCGAGTTCTCCAGCCATGATGTGACCATGGCCCCCCTGCTCCGCTGTCCGCTGATCGGCTGGCACAGTTTGCTGGGGTCTAGCTCGCGGTAGTTGGTAAGCACCGAGAAATGGCCCGACTTGGTGATTCCAAGCCATGTGCCCCTTTCGGCGCGCTGCAGGTCTCGGGACGAGAGGATGTGCTGAATCTCTTCCGAATCGCCATTCGGCGGCTGACCGTCTACGCCCGTCTGCTGCGATGACACATCGGGCGTGTGCGTCCTGGAAGGCTGCTGAGAAGCTCTCGTGCTCCACCAGTGTGGCCGTGATGTCGGGCGAAGGATGAATTCGTCTCGGTTGTCGATCACGATGAGCGCATACTTGGGATGCGCGGTGGTGAGGAGGACGATGCACATGATACCTTTTGCCGTACTGCCGCTGCGTCTATTGCGCTCAAGATTCTTGCAAAATCGGTGCAGGTTTGTTCCTCTTGAGAGATCCGTGCCTAATATTCGGAGGGAGCACAGCAGTTGACGAGTTGTTGGTACTCCCGAGTTCCACTTGCTGGTCTCTGCTGCACCTATGCGCCTCTCAAGTAGGCTATGAGGTCACGCCAGCAGACCGGTAACTCCACGCCAAGCAGACCCGACTCACGGGATCTTACGGAGCAGGGTTGCGGCGTCCAACGCCAGGAAAACGACAGAGACGTAAACAAAAATCAGGTGATGGATTTCTTGGGGATTTCGAGGCCAAGCCATGAACCTACCTCGTGCCTACCTGCGGGCGTGTTCGCGGGCAGTAAGACGGTCAGCGCCGGAAGTCGCTATGCGGCCTTTCTGGGGGTGCCCTTTCTCTGCCGAACGGCCTCTAACGCCTCCGACCCCGGAACCAGCAACACGATGATGCCTTGCCACGTCTCCTTTGCATGCTTTTTCAGCCTCAAAAACGCCAGTCCATCTGCGTTGCCAACAAGAAGGCCTTGGACCTCGCGACGAATGGTGTACTGTCAGTCTCGCACACACCATGCAATCTGCGTGGCGCCCCGCACACTGGAAGGCCATGCTCTCACAACCTGGCTTTGCCTTGGCGACCACACTTGTCTGGGCATCAAGAGCGACACATCACATCTGCTGGCACAGTCATTCTTGGCGGGTCATGACCTCCCAGAAAGATGCTCTTCTTGTGTGTCTGACCATACAAGATCTTTACCGGCTTCCGAACCACGCAAACGCCTGTCTATCTCCATACGCCTGCCCATCTAAATCGCGATAGTCGTGTAACCCCTGTCTTTTGCCAATCCACTGACGTTGACGTTGCAGAACCACTACCGGGAGGAGCTGAATCCTCAATCGATTCCGGTTTTTCGGGGTTCCGTGGTGCGTCTGAATGCTGTGGGCTGCCTGGGGCCGGGGCAGATGCCTTCCCTGACCCGGCAGGATTCTGTGGTTCCCCGTGGTACGGGCAAGGACCACACGTCGATATTATGACCTTGCCCCTATCGCACGGCTTTTTAGTCTCTCGAAAAGTACTCAAGTGAGCTGGACACGACGTCACAATAGCTGCCCCTTCTCGAACTGCACATCCGTCCTCATACACCTGTGGATAAAGGTAACACATTCTCGCACTACTTAGGTTTCAACATCGTGGATTGTTCTGGCCCAAACGCAAAGCACCGTGCAAATTCCTTCAGCAGCAATGAGGGGGAAAACAACACCTGGAACGTTGCAGCACAATGCTCTTGCATCGCGCCTGTTAACAAAGAGCCACCGTCTTTGCTCGTCTCGATCCGGCACGCATCTCTCACGTTTCCGTCACGTTTCCGTCACGCTTGTCGAGCTGTGTGATGTGTGTGTTTACCAGCGCGCAGAATGAGCCGTCGGCAGCCGGGACCGGTCATTTTTCGCGAGCACAAGCCGCCGCTCCAGAGTCGCAATCGATCACACAGGAGCATTCATTGTCGGAGATTTGAGCCGGATCTCTTGCGCACGGCCGCGCTGTTTATCTATTCCACGCTCGCACCTAGTTCCATTGGAGCTGATGGACGTCTACGCAATGGACTCGAATTTAGCCTGCTTTCGAACCCAGACCGGTGGATGGCACGATGACACCTGTTGCTTCTTCACAGCGGCTGCGTCGCAATCGGAAGAACGAGCGCAACAGGTAGGAAATCCTCCGGTACGCGAGGTCAACGCTACCCACGTGTTTTCATGGGAGCGCAGGATGAAGGACTGCCGAATCCCACCATGTGAAGCTCAAGGTGATCAAGGACCCCATAGTAGTCCGGGCTTACAACTAGGCAACGAAAAAACCCAGTGTCTCCGCGCGAGCCCGGCTCGAAAGCGGAGCCCGGAAGACAATGGCCAGCGACCGCAAGCCTGGTAGCGAGGCCGGGGCTGCCGGATAAAAGGGGTGCGGGACTCCCTTTTCAGACTAGCTGGACGGCCCGACTCGGATAATGATCGCCGTGTCCTCAGTCTCACGACGTGCCTAGCTCTGCAAATAGTTCGGTTGGAAACAACGCCCAACAGGAGATTACGAGGCGAGGGGCGAAATGGTTTTGCCGGTGCTCCATGGCCCACCAAAACTGCCTGCTAGGCCTGCAGATTTTGGTAAGCGATGTCACAGTATTTTTAAGCCCTGTCGCCAGGGTACTGGTGTGCCAAATGTGTGCAAGCAAAAGAGACCTGGGCCCCTGATCTTCAGTGAGCCCAGTCGCCAGCGACGGCGGCCTTCCCGTTTCGAAACGCCATGAGGCGGCGATGTCACGGTATCCACGTGGTTTCAGAGGCTCAAGCAACGTCGTCGGGGACACTTACCAGAGTGGGAAGGTTTTTCGCAAAACGCGCACCTGCACACACATTCCTGATAGATGGCGTTTTTGGCGTCGGCATATTTGTGAGCTCAGAGTCGGGCAAGCACGCGGCTGTCAAGGACCGAGACTCTACTGATGCTACCCAAGACGATGCTATGGACCGGGTTGGCGGACAAGACTATTGTCACCGAAGCTGCAGCTGAAGGTTAAGTTCACCCTGCACCCTGCTGCCGACGTGTTTCAAAATTGCAGCTCGACGATCATTCGCGAGCTCCGCTTGACCGGAGGGCCTAGGTCCTGCCGTGCAGGCAGAGCAACGTCGTTTAGGTTTCCGGACCCCCTCGAGTTCGAAGGTTTAACCTCCACTTGCTGTTGTCTGAGACATTTCCGAACCACTGGTAACTCGAGAGCAACCTAAGTTCGAGGCTAACGCCAGACCTTTGGTGACCCTTATTCCTCGAACGAAGGCAGAAAACGGCGCTCGTGCCCAAGTGTAGGGCTGCCGACAAGGGCACGATTATACCTCCCAGCCGAAAGCTTCTGCCGCTATTGGGATTTTCATACTCACCGACAAGACGAAGCCACCTATATGCAGGGGCTTCACTTCACTGTTCCCATTATCCCACCGTAACAACGCCTCTCTCCACAGTGGCCTCTGTGGCGCACCAGACTTGTGCCTCGTGATGATATTGCCTACGCAGCTATATGGTATATGGTATTTGGCATACGGCAAGTAGCACATGGAATATGTCATACGGCGCAGAGAGCACATCCGGGTGCCCAACGGCCCGCGCAAGCTCTGCCCCAATTCCATCGGCAATTAGACCCGACGACCAAGTGAGATTTCGCGAACATGGATCCCACCTCGTCAAGCCTTGGATACGATCGTGTCAGGCCAGGAGACCCCGACGAGAGTCCAGGGCCGGGCAGTAATATACTCCATGTGCGGGAAACTCAAAACGACATCAGCTATGAATTCCAATTTCAACTATGGCGCATTATTGCTTCAAGCGCGAGTGTGCCAACAGCCGGCCGCTGTCAAAGTAGGTGAGGCCTGCCGAACAAGATTGCGTGCCCGAGGTTGGCAGCTGCCGACGTTCCACGCTCGGGTGGGGATCTGCACCCCCATGCTGAGGCTACTGCAATAGCAACGAGCCTTCACACGCCAGACGCATCACCAAGCGGAGGAGGGCCCTTGTGTGGTACTAGATCTAGCGCAGGTTTCGGACCACGCCCCGGGTCCGGACAAGAACCCACCGCACTAATCCCGAAGTCGTTCAGACACCTTCTTTAGCAGGCGTGGCAGGCCAGGAAGGCCCAGCTAATCGTCAACGCGACCGACAAGCTGGGCTCGAACGACCGAGGACTAAAATGCAACTCTGCCCAAAGATCATCGCCCCGCAATGGAGGAGAGACAGTCACACCCTGGTGATTATTCCCGCCGAAGCGGAAGACCCCGTTTTTCTGGCCAGACTACGAAGCCTCCAAGTCCCCTCACTCGAATGTGAAGACCGCCACACTGGACGTCTCCATGCCGCCCAGATCACACAGAGTTCACAGTGACATTGCATCATGCACCGCTTGTCCGAACTTGCTCGGCCGATGTTATGTGTGCCCCCGCGCTCGCTGGTTCCTATGCTCTAATATTCCGCAAATCTTACGCGGTGCCCCTGTTGGATATGTATGAATGTCACTCTGGCAGGGCATCAGGGGTATGGCAGCAGGCTACGTGCTAGTCTAGAAGCACCGTCAAGGATCAAGGACGAGTGTTTGATGAACCCGTAAGCTTTTAATATGCGCTAGGCTCAACACCGCACACTCGGTAAGTGGACTTTTCCTGCCCCCCCAGCCTTTAACTGGCCACCCCCTAGTGTTCTCTCCTGATATAGCCTCCCGACAGCCTTCGACTTTATATCAACCTCGACCTCAACAAACGACCGTTCGCGAAAAGAGGGAGGAAGGGAAGATAAGAAACAAAGAAAGACACCGGAAAGGAATGGCGACCACGAGGTCGCTTTAACAACAAAGAAGTTTCGCCACTACCCGTCACCATCAACCATCATCACCTACCACCATGGCCGGCATCGAGAACCGCGGGCCGGTGCTCTCGGCGGTGGCCATCTTCCTCGTGACGATGGCATTCATCTCGTTCACCTTGAGGGCTTATGTGCGCGCGCGCATGGTGAGAGCCTTTGGGGTGGACGACTGGTTCATGTTGCTCGCGACGATAATGTTCATCCTCTTTGTCACATGTGTAAATGTCGGTGTGCACTACGGAACCGGTCGCCATTACGCGGACCTGGAACAGGCGGACTTCGACAACGCCATGCAGGTGAGTTCCCCCCGACGCCATGATATGGCTCTCCACGCAGCTGACCCGGACATCTCCACAGTTCTGGTATTACTGTTATATTTGGTACTGCTGGACCATGATCTTCTCCAAGATCTCAATTGGAATTTTCCTGCTGCGCATCATCGTCGAGCGCATCCAGGTCTGGTTCATTTACGTCGCCTTGGCCATCAACGTGATGACCGGGCTGGTGTTTTTCTTTGTCACCACGCTCCAGTGCCACCCAGTCTCCTATTTCTGGCACAAGGAGCAGCCCGGCACGTGTATTCCCATTGGCATCATCATCGCCCTCACATATCTCTATTCGAGCCTCAACATAATCTGCGACTTCACATTCGCCCTACTGCCGATCTTCATTGTGCGCAAGCTCAACATGAAGCGGAGAATGAAGGTCGCCATCATACCACTGCTCAGCATGGGCTGCATCGCGAGTTCCGCCGTTGTTGTCCGACTATTTTACGTTGAGACATTCAGGAATCCCGACTTTCTGTGTAAGCCCGCCATCTATCATCCTACCCGTGTTTACCCCCTTACTAACCAACATGCAATGTAGTTGCCACTGTCGACATCGCCATTTGGTCCACCGTCGAAGGCGGCCTGGCCGTCACAGCGGGAAGCCTGGCCTGCATCCGACCACTATTCAAGGTCATCATGCACCGCCTCGGCCTGTCGACCGAGTCCTACTTCCCGCCATCGAAGCAACTCCCTGGGGGCGCATCGGGCCGGGGTGCGCAGCCGCCACCGACGATCGGCTCGTCGAACAAGGCGTTGCGCCGCAGCAGCGACATTTTCCACATGGGGACGCTATTCACACGCGTGGACAAGGAGGATGAGGCGCACGACGACAAGGCGTCGACGACAAAGCTGGTCCAGGGAGGGGGAATTGTCAAGACCAGTACAGTCCGGGTCAAGATCGAGCCCATGTCGACCAACGCGTCCGGGTCCGGGTCGGAGCGTGGGGGCTCGAGTAAGGAGGACCTGCGGATGTTCAAGGGCCACCTGAACCGCAGTCCCGTGTGATCGAACCCTTGGACGAGCGGAGGTCCCCGTGTCTGTAACAACAATATAACCATGATGTACTACTATTACCACATACTATTCAGAAGCGTGTCAAATGAGGTTGGTTTATGGGTATGGAGCTATGGGGACTATCTAAGCTGTTGACCTTAAATTCTAATAGCCAAATCATACCATTCTGTGCAAACTAGAACTAGAGTGCCATGACTCGCTTGACTGTATATGATATTTAACCATACTAGCTTAGATATGTGCTTTAACGACTTGCGTTCGGGAGTGGTGCTGTCCGCATTGCATAAGCACTAATGTTGCCTCTGCCAACGCAGTTGCTGCCCAAAGCACATATAGTTTGCCCTCACACACGACTCCAGCCCTCAAGGACCGACTCCAAAACCTTTGCAAACTCAATCCACTGTGCGATGCCACACCGGGCCAATGATTCCTCTGCAGCTCATCAATATCTCCAGCCCCTCCCACCCTTTACAGTCCCGGCGACATCTGGAGAGGGAAGGGGGAGGACGCACTCCTCCAGAGCATCAGAGTTGCGAACTCCCTGGTCTCGGGTTTTCCTCCGAGCGCAAAGAAGCGACGCTGCGTGTGATTCTGGACGTCACGCTCATTTGAAACAGGACGCATTCGTTGTGACGGCCGACCCTTCATGCGAAATTGGCCCATGCCTCTGTACGCGTACTGCTGGGATGTCGTGAGGGTGAAGTGGATGAAACGTGACTCGTGAGGCATGCGGCTGGAATAGGCAAAGCCCACTGTCTGCTTCCCTGGCTCGCATAAACTCTACATTAACAATTGGGGCATCCTGCATTGTGAGCAAATTCCCAAACAAAACGTTATCTTGGGGTGACATAACGGCTCGGCTCCCCGACTTGAGGCTGACTGTCTTGGAGATGCCGTGCAGCGATGACAATTGGTTCACTGCCACATAAAGTTTGCAACTCCTTCCACTCTAGAGATGTCTCCACGGATGTCCTGGCCTGAATCATGTTTATTGAGTGTTTCCCTGTCTGCGTTGACTACTTTCGTGGGCTCACACTCGCCTAGATCTGAATTGTGGCACGGACAGGAGTGATTGATGTATCCTCACAAGGACACAAGCATATCCTCAATCCTGGCAGCGATACGAAAACTTCGTGATATCTACTGTCTCTGCCTGCAAAGGCGAAACCGAATAACTAACCAACTGCATTGACTGCAACTCGACAACCGGTTGCCTTGGTCCGCCGTTGAATGGGAAATATGCCCAGCCAATGTCCGACAGCTCTCCGGTCTCCCACCGCTCCGGTCGGAACGCGTCGGCATCCTCCCCGTATATGCTTTTCACGCAGGAGTTGATGTATTGAGAGAATACGACAAGCTCTCCCCTTCCTCACCAGGATTGGACTGTTGCCGTCTGGGCCGCCGCCGGTTGGCAAGATGGTGGTTCTGATTTGCCTCGCGGTTGTTCAGAGGTACCGATGGGTACAGGCGAAGCGCTGAGGGGAGCAATTCAATTAGCAATTCTTTGAGATGTTTGTGAATCGGGTCACTCGCTTTCTTTGACGAGACAGGCTAGAAATGGCATCTTCTTGATGTGCTCTCTCGTCGGATGCATCTCATCCTCCATGACCGCGGAAATCTCCCCCCTGACTCGCTTATTCCTTGTGTTTGCTTCCCAAGCTTCCTCTGACAGATATACCTCTCTGCAAATCGACGCACGTTTCGGCACGCGCGGCGGAAGCCAGGTGGGTTGTAGAAAAAGTGGAAGGGCGCAATTCGGAACCGCTTTGCAAGTCCTTCTTGGGCAATCTCAAAGCTCTCTGCGAACACCTTGTTCTCCGCGGCCTGATCGATGCTAGCTCTGAGGCTGTAGACCGACCGCCCAAACAATAGCGCTGTTGAGGTGTCTAGTGTCAGGCTGGAGAAGAGGGGCTGCAGATCGACCACGCCACTTGGTGGCATGGACAAAATGAGGTTATCCACATGCTCGGCGAAAGATGACTCGAGGTTCTGATACTTCGCCTGGACGAATTGTTTGCGAAGTAGTTCTCTTGAGTACCTCCACGCACTGCCCTCCTGAGTGAAGATGCCGTTGCCAAGTAAAGGCGCAAAGACTGCCGGCCTGCATCCAAAACCGTAGTCTTTGAAATTCGTAGATAGCAAAGACTCCACATTGGCAGGATGAAGAATATGATACGCTCGTGGCCCGAACAGGAGGTATTGGCAAAGATTGTTTCTGCCATCATAGTCCTGGGCAATGGAACAGAGGAATTCCAAGAGATGGCCGTCTGCGTTGGACTGCCACAGCTCTCTGATCCTGTCGATACCTAACAGTGGCCATTTTTTGGGCAGCTCAGGAGGCATGTCACATCCATGTTCGCGAGCAAGAACCAGATCAGCCTGTGAGCTCGCTCAGAATTGGATCTGGTAACCTTGACGACGAGACCTTTCCCCCTTTCCTCTTACCTGGTAGTTTCGAAACCTGGATATCAGGATATGGAGCACTGATGCTGCTGCCACAGCAGCTAGTATCCAGCCCCCAGTGACCTGTGGATCTCATCATGGCCGCAAGTGTTCCAGCCACGGTAAACCTCGAGTCAGTCATGAGTGCGCAATTGAGAGGTCACTTTCCTGTACTCATAGACAAGACAGACATGGGTAAGAGTGACATAGAAGGATCAGTGACAGGGTAAAATTGATGTGCAAGTGGAAGAGGCCGACGTTGGCCGCGGAAGCGTCGCCCAAGACAGCGTGGTACGTGATCTTATTGGGAAGGTGTCGTCACAAGATGTAGGTCCACTGTGATTTGATACAAAGGATGTCGAGTAAGAGACATTTGGCTCAGTGCGCGCGGGGAAGAAACTTATGACTGCTCATGTTGGTGCTCCGTAGTGTGCACACATGCATTCTTGGTCTTGGGAGGACCTGGGTACGGTACCAACGAAAATGGGGCCTTGTATTGCAGTGCGTCAGCCAATCACGTTTTATGAATCACCAATGACTACCAACTCACTCCAGGGTCCCAGTGGCCCCCAATGATGGCTTAGATTGATTGAGACGCTTTGAAACTCACTCTTCAGATATGAATGTGTTGGGCGCAGGAGTACCATTGCTATCGGTGGCTTCTGTGGAAGGCTATAAGTGTCGTGAGGGGTTTGAAAGCATAATTATAAAAGCGTTTATTTCCTAAAAGTTTAAAAGGAGGAAATAAAAGAAATCTAGCTATTTAAGCATTTTAAGAAGTGATTATAAATTAGGGTTAGGGATATATATATAATACACCCCTTAGTTAAAAGATAGTTTTTGCCTTATTAACTACCTTACTTTTTTAAGCAGCTAATTTATACTTAAAAATATTAACTATAACTTGCTAAGCAATTAATTATTTAACCTTTCCTATAATATATATACTTTATTACTTAAACTTTAGCTACTTATAGCTTTATAATATAGCTTATAATTAATAATTAAATCTTTTTTTTAAACTTTTTAATTAAATTTATATTTAAAAATACTTATTTTTATTAATTTTAAGTACCTTTTTAATTATATTAAAAATAGCTAAAAGTAATAAAAAATAAGCTTTTAAGCCTTAAGCTATTTTGCTTTTTTATATTCTTAAAGTTTAAAAAAAGAAATATAAGCATGTTTAAATTAATAAAAAGCTTATTAATAAAAATAGCAAAAGCTTTAATGCTTTTATTAAAATATTATTAAATAATATGCTTAAAAGTAAGTTTCTTAATTAATTTAAAAATTAATTTTAAAGCATATATTAATTCTTAATATAGCTTTAAAGAATCTTTAAGCATATATAAATAGCTTAAAGCTTAAAATAAAACTCCTTTTTAAAGAAAAGGTTAAAATAAAGCATAAGAAAAAGAAAGAGGATATAAAAAAGCTTAAAAAGATTAATAAACATTGCATTCCTTATTTTCTTTATATTAAAAGTTTTATATATAATTATAATAATAATTTTTATATAAATTATAATAATAAAGATAATTATTATTATTATTATATTTAAGGCAATTCCTATAAGCTGCTTTTAATAACCCTTTTGCTATTTATGCTTTATTTTTATTATGCTTAATTTAGTAATTTCTTAATACTTAAAAAGTTTTAATATACTTAAAAGGAGGTTTTAAATATATATAAGCATAAGAAGTTTAATTTCATTTATATTAATTGCATTTCCATAATCCCTTTTAATACTTAAAAGCTTTTTACCTTATAATAATAATTTATAAAGATTATAAAGAGTAAATATAAAGATATAATAAAATACCTTAAAGCTTAAATTATAATTACTTTAAAGCAATATAATAAGTTTAATATAAAGGCTTAAGAACTTTAAAATTAAGTTATTAATAATATAAAAACTATAAAAAACTATAAAAAATTATAAAACTTATATTATTATTATAATTAAGTGCTTTAATTTTAAAAATAATATTAAGGAATAAATATAATTAAATTTTAATTTAAAATTATAATTAAGAATTTAATTAAAGGTTAAAAAAGTTTTTTAAAAAAGTTAAAAAGTTATTATAATAATTAAAAAAAGATTTTAAATTAATTAGCATATTATTATAAAAATTAAAAGATAATTTTTAATTATAAAATAATTTTTATATAAGAATTGCATTATAGTTTTTAAAAAGTATAGTTTTTAAGATTTTTAATAAAAACTTAATAATAAAAATAATTAATAAATAAATTAATTCCTTTTTATTACTTTCCTTATATTTTAAAGATTTAAAAAAGCTTTAAAATATTTAAATTAAATGCATAATAAAACTTTAATAAATTTATTTATAAGCATTTTTTTAGTTTTTAAGTATATAATATAAAGGTATTCTTTTTAAATTCCTATTTTAATTATATTTACTAAATATTTATATATTTAAGCCTTATTTTTAGTTATTTATGTTTATTAATAATTAGGTATATTATTATTTAATTATTGCAATAAATAATTTAAGGCTTGCTTAAATTTAAGGTTATATTTTTAAATAAGCATTTTAAAGCCATTATTTCTTTAATTATAAGCTTTAAAGTTAATAATTTAGCCTTAATGGTTAAAATGGAAATAATTGCTTATTTATATATTTTTTAATATATGGAGCTCTTAAAAAGGGTTATTATATATCTTTAAAAAGATCTTTAATTTTTTTTATTATTAATAAATAAAGCGTTTTTAATTATTAAGAGCGCTTAAGCTTCTTAATTTCCTTTAAATTATAATTTAAGGAATTAAGTAATATATAAATATTAAATTACGTAATTTATTGCCTTAAGGTAACTTAAATTTAGGTTTATAAGGAATTTTAATAATATAAAGTAAGGAAATGCTATATTTAGGCATATTATAATTACTATATAAAGGATAAAATTAACTTTTTCTTAAAACTTTTAAATTTCTTATTTTAAGGCTTATTTAAAAAAAGGCTTAAGCTTTTCTTTAAGCATTAAAGTAAATAGTAAAAAGTTTTTATTTCTTAATAGGTTATATTTATTTGTTATTTTTTTAATATATAAGTTATGAAGAAGCGTTATAATGCGCTTTTCCTAGTTTTTAAAAATTTATATGCTTAAAAACTATTAAGCCTTTCCTTAATTCTTTATTTTATATATAAACTTAATTTTATTTTTAATTTTTATAAAGGAATTGCGTTTATTCTTAAGATATATAATTAAAATGTTATTTATATAAAAGAGGATTATTACCTTATAGGTTGAGTTAATAAAAAGGTATGGCTTTTTTAATAAAGGTTTTAAGCTTAAATTTTATAATATATAGCTAAAATCCTTATATTAAAGAAATGGAAAGTCTTTAAGTTTATAAAATGCTCTTAAGAGTACTTTATATTTCCTTAACTCCTTAAATTTATTAAGTAATTTATAATAAATTTAATTTAATTCTTTTTAGCTGGCATTTAAAAATGTAATTATAATGTTAAATTATTAAATTTTTAAATTAAAGTATATAGCAATTATTATTATTATATAAAATGATTTTATAGCTAAAGTTGCGATATATATGCTTTTTATAATAAAATAAGGTTATAAATTTCCTTAAATATAAATTTATACCTTAAAAGATTTAATTATTTTATTTTTATTAAGCTTATATTTATATATTTATTTTAAAAGTAATAGCATTAATTTTACTTTTTAGCACTTAATAATCCTTTAAATACTAAGCTTAATAAGGTTTTGCATTTCTTAATATATTGCCTTAAGTTATTTATTTTAAAAAGGGCTTTTTTAAGCCTTTCTTTATATAATTGGTTTTAAAAATAGATTTTTATAATATTACTGCTATAAATAAGGCTTAAACTTAATTTTAAGGGCTTAAATAGCAGCTGCTATTATATTATTCAAGATTAAAAAATATAGATTTTTAAATATTCTTTATTTTTATTTTTTAAGCTAATTAAATAAAAAAGTAATTATAAAGTTACTTTAAAAGGTTATATTAAGGTAAAATGCAATTATATTTATTAAATATAATAATTAGTTAAAGGATTTTTAAGGGCGCTTATCCTAGTTATGTATTTAGAAAGATCTTTTTATAAGTTTAAACTCCTAAATTTATTCTTATATTTTCTTTATTTATATTAATTAAAAGGATTCTTAATTTCCTATAGCTTTAAGTATATGCAATTCTTAAAAGGAAAGTTTAGGTTTATTAGCCCTTATTTTATTAATAAAAGTATATTTCCCTTTGCAAAAGCTTTGTTTTAATATATTTAGGGTTTTCTTAAGGGTTAAAAGTTCTTATTTTTAATTTCCTAAGCTTTTTAAAAAAGTAATATATAGCGGACTTTGCCTTTTAAATTTAAAAGTCCTTACCTTTAAGTTTTAATTAAAAGTATTAGTTTTATTTTCTCTTAATATAAAATAAATATTGAATTTATTATTTAAATTAATTAAGTTATTTTTTATATAAAGTATTAAAGGTATAATATAAATATAATCTTAAATCTTCTTAGCATTAATAATTTTAATGTTTAATAATTATCTTTAAAAGTTAAAAGGTTATTTTTTACTTTATTTATTGCTAATTTATAAAATATATCCTTATTAAACTATATATTCTTTATAAAGATTATTTACTTAAGTAAGGAAATTTAAATTTAAAAGATGTTAAACGTTATATAATTAATTAAATATTTAATATAGGCTTTTAATTCTCTCTTTATAAGGCATTTTTTTATATTATTTTTATATTTCTTTTTAAGTATATATGCTTTATATTTATAAGCATAAATATTACCTTAATAAGGTAATAAATAAGCTATAAAATGGTAAATCTATGCTAATTTAAATTACTAAAAATAATAAGAAAACTATATATA